CCACTGCACCTGGCTCACGCCCTGGTAATTTTTATAATTTTAGTAGAGATGAGGTTTCACCATGTTGACCAGTCTGGTCTCAAACGCCTGACCTCAAGTGATCCACCCACCTTGGCCTCCAAAAGTGCTGGGATTACAGGTATGAGCCACCAGGCTCAGGCTCCTTGGTCCCTTTGTTATGGGCTCAAGTGATTGTTAGGACTGTAATAAAGGATAATCTTCCTTTATTACAGTGTGATGATTGGAACCAATTATCTCATAGCAGCCCTGACATTAGTGTTTGGTTGAATACTTGGAAGGAGGTCAGCGTACACTGGGAAATGGAAATCTTGGGGGCCATCTTAGAATTCTGCCTACCACAATTACCAGCTGCACTCTAAAAGAGCTGTACTAGGCTGGGCATGGTGGCTCATGCCTGTGATCCCAGCACTTGGGGAGGCCGAGGAGGGCGGATCACGAGGTCAGGAGTTCGAGACCAGCCTGACCAACATGGTGAAGTCCCGTCTCTACTACAAATACAAAAATTAGCCGGGCATGGTGGCGCATGCCTTTAGTCCCAGCTACCTGGGAGGCTGAGGCAGGAGAATGGCTTAAACCCAGCAGGCGGAGGTTGCAGTGAGCCAAGATTGTGCCACTGCATGTCAGCCTGGCAACAGGACAAGACTCCATTTAAAAAAAAAAAAAGAATAAATGTAAATGTAAATGCTATTTTATCATTGCAATTCCATGTAGGTGCCTCAGTTGGTTATATTTCAGTTATGAAGTAAATGGTTTCTTCTTTCAGATTCCTTTTTCCAAATTTTTCTTCTCTAATCGTGGAAGAGTCCTGGATGTTCAGAATCAGATTGTGGTTGACAAGGTAATGTATTCTTATATTTTTCACTGAGAACTGTATCATTTTTAATGAATTAGAACTCCTGTGAGACTGAGTTCATTTGGGAAGAATGGCAGATGAAAATTCCTCCTCAGGGTTACTGCTGTTATGCCCAGCCAGAGGCTGACTCAGACCTCTCTTATGAGCTATACCGCTATCCTGGAGGAATTTTAGAATGATCATTTTTTAGCATGCCTACTTTTTATTTTAGGTTCCCCCCCATCTCTCCCTCCCATTTTAGCTTTAAAATAAGAGTTTATGAGCACTTCAGGAACCTCCATTAGGCATTCATGTTGTCCCTACGAGGTGTTTTGTTTTGTTTTTTTTGAGATGGAGTCTTGCTCTGTTGCCCAGGCTGGAGTGCAGTGGCACAATCTTGGCTCATTGCAACCTCTGCCTCCTGGGTTCAAGCAATTTTCTGCCTCAGCCTCTTGAGTAGCTGGGATTATAGGTGCCCACCACCACGCCCAGCTAATTGTATTTTTAGTAGAGACGGGGTTTTACCATCTTGGTCAGGCTGGTCTTGAAGTCCTGACCTTGTGATCCACCTGCCTCGGTCCGGCCATCCATACTAGTCTTGAGTGGCAAGGGGAGAGGGGACGAAGTTGAATGTGGAAAGAAAAACAGTCTTGTACTTCCTCTTATAGTATGCTGTGTGAGAACTAGTATGTATTTGTTAAGGGCTGATAGCACTAAAATCCAGTTATAATAATCACCTGATGGGATTTTGAACTCTGGGAATAATATCAGTACATCACTGTATGAGATTTTAATGTCTCTATTTTAAATTTAGATTGCTTCTATAGGATTCACCTTGGCTGATAAAGTGGATGGTCCATTCTTCCTGGAGATAGATTTTATTGGGGTGTTTACCGATCCAGCCCACACAGAAGAATTTGCCTATGAAAATTCTCCAGAGCTTAGCCCAAGACTTTTTCAATAAAGATCATGTGGTAGTCTTGTTTTACTAAAGTGTACTAGCATCTACAGTGATATAGACAAAATAAAATATTTCTTTAATGGAATCCAACCAATGGCTCGTATGTATTCTCTAAAACAAGTTGAACTGCTGTTGCTGGCTGGGCATGGTGGCTCACACCTGTAACCCCAGCAATTTGGGAGGCCAAGGCGGGCGGATCACTTGAGGTCCACAGTTCGAGACCAGCCTGGCCACCATAGTGAAACCCATTTCTACCAAAAATACGAAAATTAGCTGAGTGTGGTGGCACATGCCTGTAATCCCAGCTACTTGTGAGGCTGAGGCAGAATTGCTTGAACTGGGAGGTGGAGGTTGTAGTGAGCCGATCACACTGCCATTGCACACCAGCCTGGGCCACAGGCTAAGACTCCTCACCACCCAAAAAAAAATTGCTGTTGCTAAAAGGCACTGGATAAGGAGAACACAGCATGAAACCAGGTTCTCTGGTGTACTTTATCTCATAGAATGCAAGTACTGATGCAAATGTACTATAAATAACTTACGTTTTTGGTCAGAACAGTTGCTGTTAGGAACATTTCCTACGTGAGGAGTTTCTAAAGCAGGAATCTCTGAGATGACTGTTTATGGCCTTTCTACCACTCTGTTGCTTTCAGATTTCTTATATTTTCATTTTGTTTTCTTGAGACAGAGTCCCACTCTTGCCCAGGCTGGAGTGCAGTGGTATGATCTCGGCTCACTGCAACCTCTGCCTCCCAGGTTCAAGTAGTTTTCCTGCCTCAGCCTCCCGAGTAGCTGGGACTGCAGGTGTTCACTACCATGCCTCCCTAATTTTTGTACTTTTAATAGAGATGGGGTTTCACCATATTGGCCAGGCTGGTCCTGAACTCCTAACCTCTAATTTTAAAATTTTTTAAAGATGGGGTCTCACCATGCTGTCAAGGCTGGTCTTGAATTCCTGGTTCGGGTGATCCCCCTGCCTTGGCCTCCCAAAGTGCTGGGATTATGGGCATGAACCACACTCAGCCTTGGCTTGTTTTTGCTTTCTGGGGATGTCTTAAGTGTAAATACTTCGTTTTGATAAAGTAGTTTCTTTCATAACATTTTTTGGTAATCTTTATCACTGGTACTTTTGTTGTCATGTCTATGAAATCATTGCCTTGCCCAAGGCAATAATTCAGTAAATCATTGAGACTTACTCCTATGGTTTCTTCTAAGACTTTTGTAATTTTAGTTCTAACACTTAGGTCTGTGATCCTTTTTTTTTTGAGATGAAGTCTCGCTTGTGGCCCAAGGTGGAGTGCAGGGGCGTGATTTAAGCTCACTGCAACCTCTGCTTCCCAGTTCAAGCGATTCTCCTGCCTCAGCTTCCAGAGGAGCTAGGATTACAGGTGCCCACCACTATGCCCAACTAATTTTTGTATTTTTAGTAGAAACAAGGTTTCACCATGTTGGCCAGCTGATCTCTAACTCCTGACCTCAAGTGATCTACCTCCCTTGGCCTCCCAAAGTGCTAGGATTATAGGCGTGAGCCACCTCACTTGGCCTGATATTTTTTTTTTACTGCTTTTCACTCTTGTTGCCCAGGTTGAAGTGCAATGGCCGAATCTCGGCTCATTGCAACCTACACCTTCCAGGTTCAAGTGATTCTCCTGCCTCAGCCTCTCAAGTAGCTGGGATTAACAGGCAAGTGTTACCACGCCTGGCTAATTTTCAGTGGAAATGGGTCTTCACCATTTTGATGAGGCTGGTCTCAAACTCCTGACCTCAAATGATCCACCCAACTCCACCTCCCAAGGTTCTGGGATTACAGGCATGAGCCACTGCGCCTGGCCATGATTTTTTTTTTAAGAGATAGGATCTTGCTGTGTTGCTCAGGCTGGAGTATAGGGGCTATTCACAGGAGTGCTCATAATGCAACACAGCCTCTGATTGAATTGGTTAAAGTGATCCTCCCACTTCAGGCTCTCAAGTATCTGGGACAATAGGCATATGCCATTGTGCTCAGCCCTGTGATCAATTTTAAGTTAACTTTTGTGTATGGTATAAAGGTCCAAATTCATTTTTTGCATCTGAGTATCAAGTTGTCTCAGTATCATTTGGTGAAAAGACTATTGCTCCATTGAATAGTGTTGGCATCTTTGTTAAAAAATAAAACCTCCCTGGTGGTCTAGTGGTTTTTAAAAAAACAAAACAACTGTTAGAGCTTATTTCTATATGCTGTTTTTTGTTTTGTTTTTGAGATGGAGTCTTGCTCTTTTGCCCAGGCTGGAGTGTAGTGGCGCTTTCTCAGCTCACTGCAACCTCTGCCTCCCAGGTTCAAGTGATTCTCTTGCCTCAGCCTTCTGAGTAGCAGGGATTAGGGCACGCACCACCAAGCCCAGCTAATTTTTGTATTTTTCATGAAGATGGGGTTTCACCATGTTGGTGAGGATGGTCTTGAACTCCTGACCTCATGATCTGCCCACCTTGGCCTCCCAAAGTGCTGGAATTATAGGTGTGTCACCATGCGTGGCCACGATTTTAAATTTTATTAAATTTTTTTTTTTTGAGATAGAGTCTTGCTCTGTTGTCCAGGCTGAAGTACAATGGCATGATCTTGGCTTACTGTAAACTCTGCCTCCCAGGTTCAAGCGATTCTCGTGCCTCAGCCTCCCAAGTAGGTGGGATTACAGGTACTGGCCACCACAACTAATTTTTATATTTGTAGTAGACATGGGGTTCACATGGCCTTCCCAAGTGCTGGGATTATAGGCATCAGCCACTGTGCCAGCTTAAATTTATTATTTTTTGCTCTTTGGTACTCTTGTACATGCAATTTCCTTAATTTCATTTTTTTATTAGTCATTGCTAGTATATGGAAATATTGGGGCCAGGCACAGTGGTTCACACCTATAATCCTAGCCTTTTGGGAAGCTGAGGTGGGAGGATCACTTGCCTAGGAATTTGAAACCAGCTTGGGCAACATAGTGAGATCCTGTCTCTAAAAAAAAAAAAAAATTAGCCAGGTGTGGTAGCACACACCTGTAGACTCAGGTACTTGGGAGGCTGTAGTAGGAGTGTTGGAGTTCAGGGGAGCCCTTAGCTCCTCTCAGAGGACATTTCTCCAAGGTTCTTGGTCTCCTGCTCTTTCAAGAAAGAGAGGGAACCAGGTGTGCTCGCAAAGGAAATACTGGACCCCAAACAGTGTTGCAAAAATGTGATTTTTATTTTAGGCAGAGAAAGAGAAAAAAAAGAAGAAAACTTCCACATAAGGGCGGGGGAGGGGATCCAAACATTGAGTCTGAAAGGGTCTGGAAGCAGGGGACTTTTTAACCTAGGAGGAACCCCCACCTTCTCCAAGACCTCTGGCCAATGAAAGGAGTTCTTTAGGACTTCCGCTGGAGTGATTGACTTGATTCTTCCCGCAGTCGCGAAAATTAAATCTTCTGGATGGAGAGAGATGGGAGTGGGCATGGCACTGGGAAGTTCTTGCCCCTAAAACTACACCCCCTTGTGGACCCAGAAAGAGAACACATTCCCTCAGGAGGAACCCTTGGGCCCATAAGGAGTTACAGTGAGCTATGATCTTAGTACTGTACTCCAGCCTGGGTGACAGAGCAACACTGTGTCTCTGAAAAAACAATAATTAGGCCAGGTGCCGTGGCTCACGCCTGAAATCCCAGCACTTTGGGAGGCCCAGGTGGGCGGATCACTAGGTGAAGAGATTGAGACCATCCTGGCCAACTTGGTGAAACCCAGTCTCCAGCTGCCAACAGGTAAATGCTATTGCCTAGCAGAAGACTGCAGTTCTGTTCATACTAGAACCAGCAGGGGGAACTTGAAATTAAAAATCTAGGACCAGAATCTTAGGATGGGTCTCTTTAGAAAACTGAGTTGTATAGGGACTTAAGCAAAAACCATCCCAAAGAATTCGAGCTTTAAGGTGATAATGTCTTTTCAGAGATTGTAGCACATGAAGAACCTATGGACATTACATAGAATATGAACAGCAGAAAAAGATCTCATGACTAAAGTGGGGAAGAAAGCAAAAAAAAGTTTACAAAAGGAAAAATAGTTCAGAATACAGGAATATTTACAAGATGTTAAAAAATTACTAATCATCAGCCAAAATGAGGCCCCTTCGCACTCCCAAAATCTTTGCTTTCTTCTCCTTTCGTTCTTGCTCATGTTTCTTCCGTCGCTCTTCCCTGAAAGGGACAGGTCACACATTAATCTCTAGTGAGGCTCCACAACTGATACTTTAAAGCAACTGTTGTTGGACTAACACCAAAACTTTTAAGCAATGATATCCAGCATACTTGTGTAAAACAGACCCTTACAGGGCACTATGCTCTGCCTAGTGTTTCTAACACCTCTTTGTCATTGTTGTTTTAAAGGTCTAGAAACTGGTATTTTCCTTTTTGTTAACTGGGCACTCTAAAATCATGCATGGAGGCCAGGCATGGTGGCTAATGCCTGTAATCCCAGCACTTTGCGAGGCTGAGGCAGGTGGATCACGAGGTCAGGAGATCGAGACCATCCTGACTAACACAGTGAAATCACATCGCTACTAAAAATACAAAAAATTAGCCAGGCATGGGGGTGGGTGCCTGTAATCTCAGCTTCTAGAGAGGCCGAGGCAGGAGAATTGTTTGAACCAGGGAGGCAGAGACTGCAGTGAACTGAGATCTCGCCTTAGCACTATAGCCTGGGCAACAGAGTGAGACTCTGTCTTAAAAACAAACCAAAACAACAATAACAACAAGCCAGTATGATGGCTCACGCCTATAATCCCAGCTACTGGGGAGGCTGAGGCAGGAGAATCACTTGAACCCGGGAGGCCAAGCTTGTAGTGTGCCGAGATCACGCCATTGCACTCCAGCTTGGGTGACAGAGCGAGACTCAAAAAAACCCAAAACAAACAAACAAAAAAACACAAACAAAATCATGCATGGCATTGTAGTCAGAAGTCACCTTGGTGATTGAATCCAACTCCTATTATTTTACAATTTGGTTTAGGCTGGACGCAGTGGCTTACACCTATAATCCCAGCATTTTGGGAGGCAAAGGTGGGAGGATCACTTGCCCAGGAGTTCAAGGAGGCAGTAAGCTATGATCATGCCATTGTACTACAGCCTGGGTGACAAAAAGTTAAGACCCTGTCTCTAAGAAAAAAAAAAAGTTTGTTTTAAATGTGAAATGTCTACACCTAGAAATCAAAGTCGAAGGTCAAGCTGAAAATCACATAGTTTAGTGAAAGGAATAGAACTAGAACCAGGGTCTGAGTTAGCCATTATGCTTTTCTCTCAGGATTAGACAAAAAAAAAAAAAAAAAGAAAAAAAGAAAAGGAAAAAAAAAAGCCCAAGATTATGTTAATGTATCTTAATAACAGTGAGCAAAGGCCTTGGTGGCAGTTGGGTATAGGCACGAGTCAAGTAATAGGTAACCCTGTGTCAGGAGGGTCCAGGCAGGGAATCTGGGCCCAACTATGACTTGCTGCAATGCAGGATGAGCTCTGGCTTTCACCTGGTTTTCATGCTGAAGGAAGCCTCTAAGGACCATCCTGGGTTTTTCCTCTTTATAGGGCCTAGATGCTTTGTAAGCCTGGTTTCCTTAGGAGTGAGGAATTTATGTCTATCTGGATACGTAGGTACCCTAGGCTGTTAGACATTGGTATCTGGAGAGATAACCATGTGCACTGTGTTTAGGCAGACAAGTCATGCAAGAGCAGTGCTCTGAATCTGGGTCTTCTTCTGAATCACCTGCAGAACCTTGGAAACAATGCAGTTGCTTGGGCCTCACCCCAAACGTGCTGATTTGGAGTTCATTACACTGGGACCTACACACGTACTCAGAAAGTTCTATACATGATATCACTTCTAACCTCCTCTTAAAACACCACTATCACTGAGCCTCTGTCCCTCTAAGGTGCTGCTTTTGAAATTAAAATAATCATAAAGCTGTGTAATTAGGTACTTACTTTGTCTGGAGACGGGGTTGTTTGTAAGTTTTCTTGTGGAAATTAATTCTGCTGACATGTCCATTCAGATAATTATTTTCTTCAGATTGCCCCCATGGTTTAAGCTTTCCTAGTTTAAGACAGAGACAAAGAGTTTTAAGAAGATTGGTTGCTTTATAGTCCCAACTTTATTCGCTTCATCTGTGGTTACCTGTTATCAACATTTATACTTTTTTAATTTTTTTTTGGAGACAGTGTTTCTCTCTTGTTGCCCAGTTCTGGAGGGCGTGATCTTGGCTCACTGCAGTCTCCACCTCCCTGGTTCAAGTGATTCTCTTGCCTCAGCCTCCTGAGTAGCTGGAATTATAGGTGTGTACCACCATGCCCAGCTAATTTTTTATTTTTAGTAGAGATGAGACTTCTCCATGTAGGTCAGGCTGGTCTCAAACTCCCAACCTCAAGTGATCTGCCTGCCTTGGCCTCCCAAAGTGCTAGGATTATATGTGTGAGCCACCATGCCTGGCCTATACTTTTTTTTTGAGAGAGTCTTACTCTGTCACTCAAGTTGGAGTGCAGTGGTGTGATCTCATCTCGGCTCACTGCAACGTTCCCCTCCTGGACTCAAGTGATCCTTCCAGCTCAGCCTCATGAGTAGCTAGGACTACAGGTGCACAACACCATGCCCAGGTAATTTTTGTAGTTTTTAGTAGAAACAGGGTTTCATTGTGTTGTCCATATTGGTCTCGAACTCCTGTTCTCAAGCAATCTGCCTGCCTTGGCCTCCCAAAGTGTTGGTATTATAGGCATGAGCCAATATGCCCAGCGAATTTGCAATTAAAAAAAAAAAAGAACCACTGTATTCCAGCCTGGGCAACAGAGTGAAACCCTATCTCAAAAAAAGGAAAAGCAGGACATAGACCCAGGTGTAGTAGTATGTATGCCTATACTCCCAACTACATGGGAGGTTGAACTGGGAGGATCACTTCTGGCCAGGAGTTCAAGGCGGCAGCGTATGCTATAACCATACCTATGGATAGCCACTGCACTCCAGCCTGAGACCACATTTCTGGAAGTTTATGTGTTGCTTTTTAAAATTCAATTTTTTTTTTTTTTTTTTTTTTTTGAGATGGAGTCTCGCTCTGTCACCAGGCTGGATTGCACTGGTGTGATCTTGGCTCACTGCTACTTCTGCCTCCCGGGTTCAAGCGATTCTCCTGCCTCAGCCTCCCAAGCAACTGGGACTACAGGCATGTGCCTCCACACCCAGCTAATTTTTTTTTTCTTCTTCTTTTTTTAAGAGACAGAGTCTTGTTCTGTCACCCAAGCTGGAATGTAGTGGCGCCATCTCGTCTCACTGCAACCTCTGCCTCCTGGGTTCTAGCAATTCTCCTGTCTCAGCCTCCTGAGTAGCTGGGACTACAGGCGAACACTACTACACTTGGCCAATTTTTTGTATTTTAGTAGAGATGGGATTTTACCGTGTGGCCCAGGCTGGTCTTGAACTCCTAATCTCAGGCAATCCACTCACCTCGGCCTCCCAAAGTGCTATGATTCCAAGCGTAAGCCACCGCGCCCAGCCTAGGTAATTTTTGTAGTTTTAGAAGAAACGGGGTTTCACCATGTTAGCCAGGATGGAAGTTAATTTTTTTTAAACAATGAAGTCTCACTATTTTGCCCAGGCTGAAGTGCAGCGGCTATCCATAGGTATGGCCATAGCATACACTGCAGCCTTGAACTCCTGGCCACAAGTGATCTTCCCAATTCAGCCTCCCATGTAGTTGGGAGTACAGGCATACATACTGAAATAGGGTTTCACTCTGTTGCCCAGGCTGGAATGCAGTGGTACAGTCATGGCTCACTGCAGCCTCAATCTCCCTGGCTCAAGCAATACTCATATCTCAGCCTCCTGAGTAGCTGGGACCATAGGCACATGCCACCATGCCCTGCTAATTTAAATTTTTTTTTGTATAGACAAGGTCTTGCTAAGTTGTCTAGGCTGGTCTTGAACTCCTGGGCTCAAGCCATCCTCCTGCCTCTGCCTTCCTAAGTGCTGGGATTATAGGCGTGAGCCGCTGTACCCTGCTGAATCAAGTATTTGTTATTTGTTTAATAGGAGGTCTTTTAAATCATGGATCTATGTGGAAGCAGAGGCAGGGGAAAGCATTCTAGGTAGTCAAGTATGGCTTCCATTGGGTCACTAGACTTTTTTTTGTTGTTGTTTTACAGCTTTAGATGCAGAATTATTATTATTATTATTATTTTTTGAGGCATGGTCTCACTCTGTCGTCCAGGCTTTAGTGCAGTGGTACAAACTTGGCTCACTGCAACCTCCACTCCATGGGTTCCCTTGCCTCACTCTCCCAAGTAGCTGAGATTACAGTCCCCACCACCACTCCAGGCGAATTTTCCTGTTTTTTTTTCCAGTAGAGACAGGGTTTCACCATGCTGGCCAGACTGATCTTGAACTCCTGACCTCAAGTGATCTGCCTGTCCCAAAGTGCTGGGATTACAGGCGTGGGCCACGGTGCCCAGCAGAATTTGTTTAATCTTAAGGTTTTTTTTTTTTCTTTTTGAGACAGTTTCACTCTTGTTGCCCCAGGCTGGAGTGTAGTGGTGTGGTCTCAGATCACTGCAACCTCTGCCTCCTGGGTTCAAGCGATTCTCCTGTCTCAGCCTCCCAAGTAACTGGGATTACAGGTATGTGCCACCATGCCTGGCTTATTTTTGTATTTTTAGTAGATGTGAGCCGCCGTGCCCCACCAATCTTAACTATTTCACAGGCCCTGTAGCTCAATATACTCCTAAATACCTTTGTGTGGTTCATAGTTGAGGGGACGAGACAAACTTGCTTTAAGATCAAACACTGGTTTCTTATTCGAGACTGGAGTCTGCATTGCCTCAGTTGTCAACTTGAATGGGGTAATAACTAAAAAAAAAAAAAAAGAAGAAAACAAGAGCTTAGTTAGAAACAAAGACCTGTTAAAATGTTTGTCAAAGTGTTACTTCTCAATCTTAAAAACACATATTATTGTCTGAATGTTTGTACCTCTTGTGACTCCAAATTCATGTTGAAATACTAACCCTCAATATGACTGGTGTAAGGAAGTAGGGCCTTTGAGAGTAAGTAGGTCATGAATGGGGTTCAGTGCCTCATAAAGGGACCCCACAGAATTTTCTCTAGCTCTGTCACATGACCATACAATAAGTTGGCAGTCTGCTACCTGGAAAAGAGCCCTCACCAGAATCATGCTAGTGTCCTGATCTGTCTTCATCCAGCCTCCAGAACTATGAGAAAGAAACACTGCTGTTTATAAGATAGTCTTTGTGCTTTGTTGTATAATAGCAGCCCCAAAGGCCTGAGAGAATCTACATGAATACTCTGAAATAGATGAAAGAGTCTGAAGTAAGGGTTAAAATGGAGACAAGGGAAGAAAACAGTAAGTGAGGAAAGCTAACCATTGAGATTAGTTTCCTTTGCTAAACAGCTTTGTAAATGTTCTGAGTATGACATTTCTTTTTTTTTTTTGAGATGGAGTTTCACTCTTGTTATCCAGGCTGGAGTGCAATGGCGCAATCTCCGCTCACCACAACCTCCACCTCCTGGGTTCAGGCAATTCTCCTGCCTCAGCCTCCGGAGTAGCTGGGACTACAGGCACACACCACCATGCCCAGCTAATTTTTTGTATTTTTAGTAGAGACGGGGTTTCACCATGTTGACCAGGTTGGTCTCAATCTCTTGACCTCGTGATCCACCCGCCTCGGCCTTCCAAAGTGCTGGGATTATAGGCTTGAGCCACCGCGCCCGGCTGACATTTCTTAGGATCAGCTGGGAGTTTAGAATTCTGTTGAAAGAAATAACGGTATGGCTGGGCGCGGTGGCTCACGCCTGTAATCCTAGCACTTTGGGAAGTGGAGGCAAGTGGATCACCTAAGGTCGAGAGTTCAAATCCAGACTGATCAACATGGAGAAACCCCACCTCTACTGAAAATACAAAATTAGCTAGGCATGGCTGCCCATGCCTGTAATCTCAGCTACTCCGGAGGCTGAGGCAGGAGAATGACATGAACCCAGGAGTCAGAGGTTACAGTGAGCCAAGATCGTGCATTGCACTCCAAGCTAGGCACCAAGAGGGAAACTCCATCTCAAAGGAAAAAGAAAAAAAGAAATAATGGTAATTTTTCAGCTTATTTCCCTGATAACAGCTACTCATAAAAATTACATATTAATAGTATCATTAACATAAACAAACATAAAAAGAACCTAATCACATAAAGTTGAAAGGATTCATGGCCTGGTGACTCATACCTGTAACCTCAGCACTTTGGGAGGCTGAGGCAGGAGAATTGTTTGTAGACAGAATATTATTAATAAAGGCTGTTATCACTTAAGAATATGAATTTTTGGGGGGCTGGGTGTGGTGGCTCACGCCTGTAATCCCAACATTTCGGGAGGCTGAGGTGGGCAGATCACAAGGTCAGGAGATTGAGACTGTCCTGGCCAACATAGTGAAAGCCCATCTCTACTAAAAATACAAAAATCAGCTGGATGTGGTGGTGCGCACCAGTAGTCCCAGCTATTTGGGAGGCTGAGGCAAGAGAATGACTCGAACCCAGGAAGCAGAGGTTGCAGTGAGCCGAGCTTGCACCACTGCACTCCAGCCTGGTAACGGAGGGAGACTCCATCTCAAAAAACAAAAACAAAAACAAAAAAACATAATTTTGTTTGTTTGTTTTGTTTTGAGACGGAGTTTCGCTCTTGTTACCCAGGCTGGAGTGCAATGGCGCATCCATCATGTTGGCACAGACCACCATGTTGACCAGGATGGTCTCGATCTCTTGACCTCCTGATCCACCCGCCTCGGCCTCCCAAAGTGCTGGGATTATAGGCGTGAGCCACCGCGCCTGGCCCAAAAAAATATAAATTTTTGAACCATGAAGTTAAAAATATCCAGGATAGTGAAGTTTTTATTTTTTTGAGATGGAGTCTTGCTCTGTCACCCAGGCTGGATGATATGACCTCGGCTCAGTGCAACCTCTGCCTCCCTGGTCAAGTGATTCTCAAGAGAGTAGCTGGGATTACAGGTGTGCGCCACCAGGCCTGGCTAATTTTTGTATTTTTATAAGAGACGAGGTTTTGCCTTGTTGGCCAGGCTGGTCTCAAACTCCGGACCTCAAGTGATCCTCCTGCCTTGGCCTCCCAAAGAGCTGGGATACAGCTGTGAGCCACTGTGCCCTGTCTAAAGATGGTTTGGTTTGGTCAGCCTTTTTGCTACAGTTGACCATCAGTTATCTAGCACATTTTGTAATCCCTTCTCTTTTTTTTTTTTATTTGAGACGGAGTCTCACTCTGTTGCCCAGGCTGGCTGGAATGCAGTGGCACAATCTCGGCTCACTTCAACCTCTGCTTCCTGGTTCAAGTGATTCTCCCACCTCAGCCTCCTGAGCAGCTGGGACTACAGGTGCATGCCACCATGCTGGGCTAATTTTTGTATTTTTAGTAGAGATGGTATTTTACCATGTTTGCCAGGCTAGTCTTGAACTCCTGACCTCAAGTGGTCCACCCGCCTCGGCCTCCCAAAGTGCTGGGATTACAGACAAGAGCCACCATGTCCGGCCAATCCTTTCTCTTCATAGGGGGAAGCCACTTATCATTTGTATCCAGGTCATTGCCAAATGTGAACACTTGCCTCCATCTGTGAACCAGCAATCAGGATCTAAGATCAGCTAGTTAAACACCCAAAAGCACAAAACTCCATGTTCAAGGGATCCCACTGTATCAATATCAGGTGTTGGCAGGGAGTAGAATAAGGGGCTGCCATACACTGCCAGTGGAAAGCATGAATTGGTACAATTCATCCAGGGCAGTTAATGTCTGCATATTTTCCAATCCAGCTGTCCTGCTCCTAGGTCTAGGGAAATTCTTGCACAGGAGACATGTTTAAGAGTATTCATGACAACATCATACATAATCATGAAAGCTGGAATGACTCACATGTTCATGAATAGTACAATAGATAAATCAACTGACATATACCCATATCATTGAAAAATACAGTGAATATGAGTCAACATGATTGAATCTTGAAACATGAACTTTATGGTCTGGGATCCTATTGGTGTCAGAGTCCTCCAGAACCATTCTGAGGCTGTAATGAATACTGTGCTCACCCTCCTAATCCCTGAGTCTTATAAGAGGCACAATGCTATTCCTGTAGGGTCCCCATTTTAGGATTAGATGGAACTCTCAGGCAGTTATCAGATTTTTGCTTATGTCTCTGGCCTTTCCCTCACTAGTACACAATGAAAAATAGGCTACAGTAAAATTTTTGCTTTTGATTTTATAGGTATGGAAAGGGTTTAAGGAAACATATACAGGCTGGGTGTGGTGACTCATGCCTATAATCCCAGCATTTTGGGAGGCTGAGGCAGGTGGATCACCGCAGGTCAGGAGTTCGAGACCAGCCTGACCAAAATGGTGAAACTCTGGCTCTACTAAAAATATAAAATTAGCTGGGTGTGGTGATGCATGCCCGTAATCCCAGCTACTCTGGAGGCTGAGGCAGGAGAATTGCTTAAACCCGGGAGGTGGAGATTGTAGTGAGCCAAGACTGCACTGCACTCCAGCCTGGGAAACAAAAGTGAAACTCCGTCTCAAAAAAAAGACCGGGCGCGGTGGCTCACGCCTGTAATCCCAGCACTTTGGGAGGCCGAGGTGAGTGGATCACAAGGTAGAGAGATTGAGACCATCCTGGTCAACATGGTGAAACCCTGTCTCTACTAAAGATACAAAAAAGTTAGCTGGGCATGGTGGCATGTGCCTATAATCCCAGCCACTCAGGAGGCTGAGGCAGGAGAATTGCCTGAACCCAGGAGGCGGACGTTGCGGTGAGCCGAGATCGTGCCATTGCACTCCAGCCTGGGTAACGAGCAAAACTCCGCCTCAAAAAAAAAAAAAGGAAAGAAAGAAAGATACACCTAATAATTTTGGGAAGTTACATGGCTTAAAAATGAAATGGATGGCCAGGTGCAGTGGCTCACACCTGTAATCCCAGCACTTTGGGAGGCTGAGGCAGGTGAATTACTTGAGGTCAGGAGATCGAGATCATCCTGACCAACATGGTGAAACCCTGTCTCTACTAAAAAATACAAAAATCCGCTGGGCTTGGTGGCAGGTGCCTGTAATCCCAGCTACTCGAGAGGCTGAGGCAGAATAGCTTGAATCAGGGAGTCAGAGGTTGCAGTGAGCCAAGATCACGTCACTGCACTCCAGCCTGATGACAGAGTGAGACTTCATCTCCAAAAACAAAACAAAACAAAACAAAACAAAAAACAGATTTTTTTTACCAGCAGAATTCCTCTTGGTGGTCTTTATTTTGTGTGTCCCAAGCATAGCCTTGTCTTTTGGGGTATTCCCAGACATGGTCACATGTGCAGACCATGGAGTCTTGGTCAGTGAATGCTCATGCTCATTATCTTTAGTAGCAGCTGAAAACCTAAATAGGACAGCAGAATACAAGACATGAGTACTGTGGCAAGAATAACGTGTATCTAGCTTATAAATAAAACCACTTTACCTAGAAATACAATAGCAAAGGAAAAAAAATGAAATAAATAAATAAATAAAACCACTTGACCAATTGCAAACAGTGAAAAGGGCCTCGATGAATAATTGCCTTTTTTTTTTTCTTACCCAAATCAAAAGGATTTTCCCAGCACAGAATACTTGTCATAGTAATGAACCTCTTTTGCAGAAGAGACACATTCCTAAAAGGCTGATGCTAAAGTAAATCACATTTCAACTTCCATTATTTGTAAAATATGTTCTTGTCTTTTCTGGTCTCTCTGCCTTGGACAATGATGGTGCTGGAGGAATATGCCTCATTATAGTTCAAGAGGCAAGCCAAAGAGCTCCCCTTCCTCCTCCTCCGGGTGAGGGGAAGTCACAGGGAGTAGGAGACTTCTATGCTAGGTGAGTGGTGAGAACAGGTTTTGTATTTTCCTAAAAGAATGTCATTCATTTGAGCGGTAGAGAAATAAGCCCATTTTTTTTTTTTTTTTTTTTTTGAGATTGAGTCTCGCTCCATCACCCAGGCTGGAGTGCAGTATCATGATCTCAGCTCACTGCAACCTCTGCCTCCTGGGTTCAAGCAATGTTCCTGTCTCAGCCTCTTGAGTAGCCGGGATTACAGGCACCCATCACCACGTCTGGCTAATTTGTGTATTTTTAGTAGAGACGGGGTTTTACCATGTTGGTCAGGCTGTACTCCTGATCTCGTGATCTGCCCACTTTGACCTTCCAAAGTGTTGGGATTACAGGTGTAAGTCACTGCATCTGGCCAACCCCATTCTTTACATATGGCAAATTGCTATGAATGTATTTGATTGATTCACTGACAGCATTTTTTCTACATTTTAATATCTCTAAAATTAGGATGTGTTTTTCTATAATTGACATCATGTCAGTAGTTAATTGGCAGTGATTTTTCTTAAGAAACGTTCTGGCTTTATCACCCAGGCTGGAGTACAGTGAGTGGTGTGATCTTGGTTCACTGCAACCTCTGCCTCCTAGGCTCAAGCCATTTTCCTGCCTCGGCCTCCTGAATAGCTGGGACTATTAGTGTGAGCCACTGTGCCTGGCTAAACTTTTTCTTTTAATTGGAGTCAAGAGTCTCGTTCTATCCCCTAGGCTGGAGTGCAGTGGCTCAATCTCAGCTCATTACAACCTCTGCTTCCTGGGTTCAAGTGTGTCTCCAGCCTTAGCTTCCTGAGCAGCTGGGATTACAGGTGCCTGCCATCACAGCTGGTTAATTTTTGTATTTGTAGTAGAGATGGGGTTTTGCCATGTTGGCCAGGCTGGTCTGGAACTCCTGACTTTAGGTAATTCACCTGCCTCAGCCTCCTGAATTGCTGGGATTACAGGCGTGAGCCACCATGGCCTTTTTTTTTTTTTTTGAGATGGAGTTTTTGCTCTGTTGCCAAGGCTGGAGTGCAATGGTGCGATCTTGGCTCATTGCAACCTCCGTCTTCCGGGATCAAGCGATTCTCCTGCCTCAGCCTCTTGAGTAGCTGGGATTACAGGCATATGCCACCACGCCTGGCCAATTTTGTATTTTCAGTAGAGACAGGGTTTCACCATGTTGGCCATGCTGGTCTCGAACTCCTGATCTCAGGTGATCCACCCACCTCAGCCTCCCAAAGTGCTGGTATTACAGGTGTGAGCCACCGTGCCCAGCCACTCCTGGCTGATTTTTACATTTTTAGTAGAGATGGAGTTTTGCCATGTTGGCCAGGCTGGTCTCAAACTCCTGGGCTTAAGCTATTTGCCCATTTGGCCTCCCAAAGTGCTGGGATTACAGGTGTGAGCCACTTTGTCCAGCCAGCAGTGATTTTTCTTAATGGTTCATGAAATAACAACAAGCCTTCAATTCAATTAATGGTGTCTTATGGTGTGAAGTCCAGACCCATCTGTACATTGCAGTGCAGCAAGGGCCAATCCTCTGACCATGGCGTTCTTTTTTTTTTTTTGAGATGAAATTTCACTCTTGTTGCCCAGAATGGAGTGCAATGGTGTGATCTTGGCTCACTACAACCTCTACATCCTGGGTTCAAGTGATTCTCCTGTCTCAGCCTCCGAAATAGCTAGGATTATAGTTGGGGACCACCATGCCTGGATAAATATGTATTTTTAATAAAGATGAGGTTTCACCATGTTGTTCATGGCTGGTCTTGAACTCCTGACCTCAGGTGATCCACTGACCTCAGTCTCCTAAAGTGCAGGGATTACAGGCGTGAGCCACCACACCTGGCCCATAACGTTCTTAAGTGAAATCAGAACCACCTTTTATAGGTACTTCATATACCAAGCGAATTCAATACATAGAATTCCAAGCTTAAAGACACTTTTTAGTTTTAAAAACTATGTTGAAGGGGCTGGGCACGGTGGCTCAAGCCTGTAATCCTAGCACTTTGGGAGGCTGGGGCAGGCAGATCACTAGGTCTGGAGTTCAAGTCCAGCCTGGCCAACATAGTGAAACTCCATCCTACTGAAGATACAAAAAATGTAGCCAGGCATGGTGGCAGGTGCTTGTAGTCCCAGGTACTTGGGAGGCTGAGGCAGGAGAACTGTTTGAACCCAGGAGTCAAAGGTTGTAGTGAGCCAAGGTTGCACCACTGCACTCCAGCCTGTGCGACAGAGTGAGAATCTGTCTTGAAAAAGAAAGGGGCGGGGAGGGGAGGGGAGAGGAAGAGAAGGGAGGGGAAAGAAAAGAAAAGAAAGATTAGCCAAGCATGATGGTGTACACCTGTAATCCCAGCTACTCAGGAAGCTGAGGCATTAGAATCGCTTGAATGAAGGAGGTGGAGGTTGCAATGAACCGAGATTGCGCCATTGCACTCCAGCCTGGGTGACAGCGCGAGATTCTGTCTCAAAAAAAAAAAAAGTAGAAAATAAAGTTTTGATATTAGAAGTAATCGGAAGATTTTTGTCTATGGGGAGAGTCCCAGTTGAAGGTGACCTTGATGTCAGAAAAGTTACAAGTAAACAAAAAGAGGGATCAATGGGGCATGAGATAGCGATGTTACTTTAGTGCCCACTAGGTTATAATATTGGTATTTGAGGAAGAGTTAATTTTTCACTTCACTGCAGTGAGAGACTTTCTATGGGCATTTAGCTTCACTTCTATATTTAAGTCAATGGAAAAGTTTCTCCTTAGGCATCTTGGCAGTCATATAATAATAAAAAAAAAGAATATCTGGGCATTGTGGCTTATGCCTGTATTCTTAGTACTTTGGGAGCCTGAGGCAGGAGGATCGCTTAAGGCCAGGAGTTCAAGACCATCTTGGGCAACATAGCAAGACCTCATCTCTACAAAACAAAAGCAAAAGAACACATATTTGAGAGTGATGTCAGCAAGATGGCCAACTGGAGATGACTGGCATTCATCCCTCAACAAGAAAGGATGAAGGCAACAAATAAACAGCTAAGATTTTTAGAGATAGCTTTAGCTATGTTGCCCAGGCTGGCCTCAAACTTGTGAACTCAGACGATCCTCCTGCCTTAGTCTCCCAAGTAGCTGGAATTACAGGTGGAAGCCACCACAGAAAAAAGCTAAGATTTGACTGGAGTGTCAAAAGGAAAGCACTGGAGTGCATCACAGGAGTGGAGACGGACCTGTGGCGAATGGAGGCCCAGGAGGGCAGCCAGAGGCTTCTAGCCTCTGCCACCAGAATCAGATCTGCCTGCAGTCAGGAGGGGATTCCTTTTGTGGAGAAACAGTAAACTGAAGATCCCCACCAGCCCCCATTGCTATTGCAGGCACCTACAGTCCTTACTATAGGAGAATACCCATGTTTAATACCCAAGTCTCCCAGTTTGCAGAGCTGCCAGGAATTACTGTACCTGCATTGCCCTGGATTAAGAGCACAAGGCGTGCACTCTAGCTGCCATTAGCTTCTGCAGCCTAGAACCATCTTGAGACAAGAACCACTTTTGGAATGCACTCTGGTCTGCTGGGGGCCAGGAGCCACTGCACGTCTCCAGCACTAGAGCTCCATATTCATTTGACCAAGCCCACAGGGGCTTGGTAGGGTTGGCTTCAACATCATGACCCCAGTTGCTTGGAGCCTAAGCAGATGTGCTCAGGGCAAACATGCCCTTCTGGCCAAACTGCCACATGCCCTTTCTGGAGTGGGAGAGAATCTCAAGCAGCTGACACACACAGCCGCCTGTGCCTAGGGCCTGAGAAACAGCCTTGAGATGCCTCACCCCTGCAGAGAAGCAGCCCATTTTTTTTTTTTTTTTTGAGAATGAGTCTCCCTTCTATCACCAGGCTGGAGTGCAGTGACGCGATTTTGGCTCACCGCAACCTGTGACTCCCTGGTTCAAATGATTCTCCTGCCTTAGGCTCCTGAGTAGCTGGGATTACAGGCATGCAGTAGCATGCCTGGTTAATTTTTTGTATTTTAAGTAGAGATGGGGTTTCACCATGTTGGCCAGGATGGTCTCAATCTCCTGACCTCATGATCCACCTACTTCAGCCTCCCAAAGTGTTGGGATTACAGGCGTGAGCCACCATGCCTAGCCTTTTTGTTTGTTTTTAAGAGACAGGGTTTCACCATGTTGGCCAGGCTGGTCTCGAACTCCTGACCTCACAATCCGCCTGCCTCAGCCTCCCCAAGTGCTGGGATTACAGGTTTGTGTCACCGCACCTAGTGAGAAGCAGCCTAGTAAGCAGTCTCTGGTAGATATACCCCAAGACCAGCCAAGCAGTCATGCAACTGCATACCAGGCCTGAGAAACTGCCCCACAATCCCAAACCTGGCAAAGCCACCATCACCACCAGTAGCTTAGGCTACTGAGAAACTTGCAAATGCCACTAGAATTACAGCTGAAGAAACTACACAGACACTGTATTTGCCCATCTAGAACCAAGGCCAATGCACTGCATTTAACTGACACCCCAAGACCTAGTCATATGAGTATATTCTTCCCTATGAAACCTTCTCTATAAAATTGCAAGAGGTGACTTTCCTAACAGATGTGTAGAAATCAGTGGAAGGACACATAAACCATGAAAATGCAGGGAAACAAGTCACCTCCAAAGAAAAATGTTAATTCTCCAATAACCCTAATCATAAGAAAATATATGAAATACCAGAAAAAGAATTCAAAATAATAATCTTAGGGGAACTCAGTGAGATACAAGAGAATACAGACAGACAAGTCAATGAAATCAAGAAAACAATTCATGATTTGAATGAGAAATTTAAGAGCTAGAACGCTGGGTGCAATGGCACATTTGTATCCCTAGCACTTTGGAAAGCCGAGGTGGGAGAGTCACTTGAGCCTAAGAGTTCATGACCAGACTGGACAACATAGTGAGAACTTGCAAAATTAGCTGGATGTAATGGTTTCAAAGAGCTAGAAGGAGGATACTAAATATTCCCACTATGAAAATGATAACTGTTTGAGATGATGGATATGCTAATTTCCCTGATCTGCCTACCATACAATATATGTATTGAAACACAACTAGGGGCCGGGCTTGGTGGCTCATGCCTGTAATCCCAACACTTAGGGAGGAAGAGGCAGGCAGATCATGATCATCCTGGATAACACAGTGAAACCCTGTCTCTACTAAAAATACAAAAATTAGCTGGGCATGGTGGCATGTGCCTATAATCTCAGCTACTCAGGAAGGGCTACTAAAAATACAAAATTTGGGCTGGATACGGTGGTTCATGCCTGTAATCCTAGCACTTTGGGGGGCCGAGGCAGGCAGATCCCCTATGGTCAGGAGTTTGAGACTAGCCTTGCCAACAGGGTGAAACCCCGTCTCTACTAAAAATACAAAAAATAGCTGGGTGTGGTGGTGCATGCCTGTAATCCCAGCTCTCAGAGGGCTGAGGCAGGAGAATCACTTGAACCCAGGAGGTGGAAGTTGCAGGGAGCCAAGACCATTCCACTGCACTCCAGAATTGGCAACAGAGTAAGATTCTCTTTCTAAGCCTGGGTACAGTGGCTCACACCTGTAATCCCAGCACTTTGGGAGGCCAAGGCAAATGGATCACCTTAGGTAAGGAGTTCGAAACCAGCCTGACCAATATGGTGAAACCCCGTCTCTACTAAAAATACAAAAATTTGCCGGATGTGTTGGTATGTGTCTGTAATCCCAACTACTCAGGAGGCTGAGACAGGAGAATTGCCTGAATCCAGGAGGTGGATGTTGCAGTGAACCAAGATTCATGCCATTGTACTCTAGTCTGGGTGACAGTGAGACTCTCTCAAAAAAAAAAAAATTAGTCAGGCGTGGTGACACGTGCCTGTGGTTTCAGCTATTAGGGAGGCTGAGGCAGGAGAATCACTTGAACACCGGAGGTGGAAGTTGCAGTGAGCCGAGATTGTGTCACTGCACTCCAGCCTGGGCAACAGAGTGAAACTCTGCCTTAAAAAAAAGGAAACATCACTGTGTATCCCATAAATATGTACAATTCTTATTTACCAATTAAACACATTTTAAAAAAATATAATCCTTCCAATTTTACAATCCTCCATGGGTTTAAATATATATATAAAATCCATGTGGAATCTTGTCCATCATTACATTTTCAAGTGATTTCTTTACCTAACACCTGTTTTAGCTGCAGAGATAGCAGAGCGCTTGAGTGACCCCTTCAGACCCAAGGTACTCTGACATGCAGGACCATAAGACTGGCCTTGAGAGCGTCGTTGGCTGATGGGAGTAGAAGCCACAGAGAGTCTTCCTTTTGGAGGTACTGGAATCATGACTCCTCCCTTATTGATGGGCTGCTGCTGAGAAGAAAATGCACCATTTTAAAAGCTTGGCCTCTGATTCAGTATTGTCTCCCTAGGCAAAGTTCAGAAGAGCATTTCCATTTATCCCTGTGTTTACTCCCTCATTTGTAACTCCATTTGGAATATTTTCCTTCCCTATCACCTTATCTCATCCTATTCTACCTGACTGGCTGGCTCCACAATTACCTGCCATTTATTGCTATGGGGATTCTGCTGTGAAGAGCAATTTCCAGTTGTGGCTGAGTAATGAGTTACGAGAAAGCCTTTCCCAGCTGCCATGTACCCAGGCATTCATTTATTTCCTTTCCTTCCCTCTTTCCCTTTTCCCTTCCCTTCTTTCTTTCTTCTTTGAGAGAGAGAGCTGGGCTGACTGCAACCACCACCTCCCAGGTTCAAGTGATCCTCCTACCTTAGCCCCCTGAGTAGCTGGTATACAGGCACCTGCTACCATGCCCAGCTAATTTTTGTATTTTTAGTAGAGACAGGGTTTTGCCATGTTGGCCAGGCTGGTCTCAAACTCCTGACCTCAAGTAATCTGCCTGCCTTGGCCTCCCAAAGTGCTTGGATTACAGGTGTGAACCACTGTGCCAAGGTATCCAGGCATTTTCTCACAAGAGACATAATGTAGGAAAACAGTACCTCGTAGCCAAAAAGGGAAAAAAAAGAGGTTTTGAAAATATGGAACATTTGAGGGCATTATATATAGAGTATTAAAAACAAACTTAGGCTACGTGTAGTGGCTCACACTCTATAATCTCAGCACTTTGGGAGGCTGGGGCGGGAGGATCACTTAAGCCCAGGAGTTCATGACCAGCCTGGGCAACATTAGGAGACCCTGTCTCTATAAAAACAAACAAACAAACAAACAAACATAATCAAACTTAAAGAAACTATTATATATTTAACATGTTGAATCTACAATTAATTCCACCCCCTCCCTCTATCCCCAAACAAGAGCATTTTGAAGTCCTTTAAAACAAAAAAACTAAAGCAAAGAGGGAAGGAAATAAATGCTTGAAGGATTTCACTTAGGGTGTCTTTCTTAGATATTGTCAAGGCACAAAGAATATCTTACTATCATTAGTCAAAGATATGTTGCAAAAGGAAGAAATGTTAACTATATTACCTGTCAACTGAGAAATGACAATTGAAATTAATATATACAAAACAAAAATGTAGGTTAAGAACTAAATACAGGGACTAGAAATAAATATAATCTGGTAGGTCATGCCTGTTATCCCAGTAACTTTGTGAGGCAGAGGGAGGACTGCTTGAGCCTAGGAGTTTGAGACCAGCCTGGACAACATAGCGAGATCTGTCTCTACAAAAAACTGAAAGATAGCTGGGTGTAGTGGTGTATGACTATAGTCCTAGGTTCTAAGCAGGCTGAAGTGGGAGGATCACCTGAGCCCAGAAGGTTGAGACTGCAGTGAGCCATCACTGCACCACTGTACTACCACCTGGGTGACAGAGTGTGACTGTCTCAAAAAAAAAAAAGAAAAAAATGGCTGGGCATGGTGGCTTACACTTGTAATCCCAGCACTTTGGGAGGCTGAGGCAGGTGGATCACCTGAGGTCGGGAGTTCGAGACCAGCCTGACCAACATGGAGAAACCCTGTCTTTACTAAAAATACAAAATTAACATGGTGTAGTGGCGCATGCCTGTAATCCCAGCTACTGGGGAGGCTGAGGCAGGAGAATTGCTTGAACACAGGAGGTGGAGGTTGTGGTGAGCCAAGATTGTGCCATTGCGCTTTAGCCTAGGCAACAAGAGCGAAACTCCAGCTGAAAAAAAAGAGAGAGAGAACTTTCTTTCTTTCTGTTTGAGATGGAGACTCACTCTGTTGCCCATGCTGGAGTAAAATGGTGTGATCTTGGCTCACTGCAACCTCTGCCTCCTGGGTTCAAGCAATTATCCTGGCTCAGCCCAAGTAGCTGGGATTATAGGCGCCTACCACCACATCTGGCTAATTTTTATATTTTTAGTATAGATGGGGTTTCGCCACATTGGCCAGGCTGGTCTTGAACTCCTGACCTCATGTGATCCACCCACCTCAGCCTCCCAAAGCGCTGGGATTACAGGCATGAGCCACTGTGCCCAGCAACACACACACACACACACACACACACACACACACACACACACACGTATGTGTGGCAATGCAACCTCTGCCTTCTGGGTTCAAGTGATTCTCCTGTCTCAGCATCCCAACTAGCTGGGATTACAGGCGCCCACCACCTTTTTTGAGACAGGTTCTCACTCTGTCACCCAGGCTGAAGTGCAGTGGCATGATCTCAGCTTGCAGCAATCTTCTCTGCCTACCGGCTTCAAGTGTTTTTCCTGCCTCAGCCTCCTGAGTAGCTGAAGGTAAGACCTTTCTAAGCATTATAAAAAACTTATCCTTAAAAGGAAGACTTGGGCTGGGCACGGTGGCTCAAGCCTGTAATCCCAGCACTTTGGGAGGCCAAGGCAGGTGTCTCACAAGGTCAACAGATCGAGACCATCTGGTCAACATGGTGAAACCCCGTCTCTACTAAAAATACAAAAATTAGCTGGGCATGGTGGCGCGTGCCTGTAATCCCAGCTACTCAGGAGGCTGAGGCAGGAGAATTGCCTGAACCCAGGAGGTGGAGGTTGCAGTGAGCCGAGATTGCACCATTGCACTCCAGTCTGGGTAACAAGAGCGAAACTCCGTCTCAAAAAAAAAAAAAGAAGACTTGGATAAATTTAACTACAATTAAAAACCTTCCACAAGGCAAGATACCATTAATCTAGTTAAAAGATAAACAATGGAAAAGTATTTATAACAGGTAATATATACCATTAATATAGATAAATGAGAATGGGTAAAAATTGAGAAAAAGCAAATCCGCATAAAAATAGCCAGCACTTTGGGAGGTCAAGGTGGGTGGATCACCTGCGGTCAGGAGTTCAAGATCAGCCTAGCCAACATGGTGAAACCCTGTCTCTACTAAAAATATAAAAATTAGCTGAGCGTGATACTAGTTGCCTATAATCCCAGCTACTTGGGAGGGTGAGGTGGGTGTGATGGTAGCTGCCTGTAGTCCCAGCTACTCAGGAGGCTGAGGTGGGAGAATGGTTTGAATGGAGGTGGAGTTTGCAGTAAGCAGAGATTGCGCCACTGCACTGCAGCCTGGGCAACAGAATGAGACTCTATCTGAAATAAATAAATAAATAAAATTACAAATACAAATATTAGCCAAGTGTGGTGGTGGGCACCTATAATACTAATTACTTGGGAGACTGAGGCAAAACAATCTCTTGAACCTGGGAGGTGGAGGTTGCAGTGAGCCAAGATCACACCACTGCACTTCAGCCTGGGTGAAAGAGTGAGACTCCATCTCAAACAAAACAAAACAAAACAAAACAAAAAAACTGATAAACAGTGCCTTCAAATGTGATAACGGTGAGGATGGGAGTGGTGGCTCATGCCTGTAATCCCAGCACTTAGGGAGGCCAACGTGTGGTGGGCACAATCTCAACTCAGCTACTCGGGAGGCTGAGGCAGGAGAGCAGGAGAATTGCTTGAACCTGGGAAGCAGAGGTTGCAGTGAGCTGAAACTGCACCACTGCCCTCCAATCTGTGCAATAAGAGCGAAACTCCATCTCCAAAAAAAAAAATTGTGGCAACGTAAAACAAGTTTTACGTTGTTACAATGAATGTTTATTGTTTTAATTAAGCTTCTCACCTGGAAGCTTAGGTATCACACAATGAGTTTTCCTCTTATCCCTAGTTGCCAGAAAACTTAAACTTACCTGAGTGACTGATGGTAATAAATACTATACCTACTAATAGTGCTCATTTTCTGTACCTTTTAAATTGACCATACTATTTTATATCTAATACCATAAACTTAAATTATTTTTAGAACAGGCCTTAAATTCTTTTTGAGAAATAGGGAAGCTATGTAAAATAAACATGTGGGTTAATAATTAAATACAGGCAAGAGAAATAAATATAATCTGGTGGCTTACATCTGTAATCCCAGCACTTTGGGAGGCCGAGGTGGGAGGATCACTTGAGCCTAGGTGTTCAAGGACAGCCTAGGCATCATAGGGAGACCCTGTCTTTAAGAAAAATACATAAATCAATAAATTTGTAAAAACGTGTTTCTTGTCCTCCATTCTGCACTCCCTTAACACCAGATACCAATAACATCAACTTGCTAGAATATCACTACTCTGCTAACTCAGCCTCAGAGTTGATTTTACCACCTTCTCTTACTTAAGAGGGCCCTGAGACCTGTAAGACCTGGACTGAAAGCCCTCAAGGGAGCTGTTACCACAGGAACCCTTTAGGTTTTCCACTACTAATCACCCATTTTCCTTTACATAAGGGACAAGAGAAAGAAGATGGCTTCAGTCATAAGTTGGTTTACCCTCAAAGAAAGTAATAGGCAGAACATCTGAATATGGAAAGCAGAATGACATTGCAATTTGGGAAATAGTTCCTCAGTTAGGATTCAGTGTTTTTTGTTTTGTTTTGTTTTTTGACGCAGAGTCTCACTCTGTCACCCAGGCAGGAGTGCAATGGTGACATCTTGGCTCACTGCAACCTCTACCTTCCCAGTTCAAGCAATTCTCCTGCCTCAGCCTCCCAAGTAGCGGGGATTACAGGTGCCCACCACTACCCTCAGCTGATGTTTTTGTATTTTTAGTAGAGATAGGGTTTCACCATGTTGGCCAGGCTGGTCTTGAACTCCTGACCTCAGGTGATCAATCCACCTTGACCTCCACAAGTGCTGGGATTATAGGCATGAGCTATTGCATCCAGCCATGGATTCACTGTTTAAGCTGGAGGATTTTGAAAATTATCAGAATAGGGGAAAGCCAGTTTTAGATAAAGATGTATTAAACTCAAACAAATCTACTGGTAGAGTCACAGCCAGTTGTAACCATGGTGTTATATAGTTACAGAATTAAAATTAGTTTAGTTCCATTAAGAACATAATTTTATCTGCATACCTTCAGTTCACTGATGGAATTGTATTCTTCAAAATGTTTCTTTTTCCTCTTACTATATTGATCAATGGACTCCATTTTCTTAAAATGAGCTTCATGAATCTTCTTGAAGTCTAGAGTGTGTCCCCAATATAAAAATTAATAACTAAACAAAATCCATTTATATATCTTTTCTGTTTTTCTGTTAAAACTTATTTTCTTCTTTGCCGCCCTGACATTCAACTTCAATATAATATGTGCTACAACATTAATTTCAAAATACTTTGTTTTTGGAAACTCAGGGGCAAAGCACATTCATCTTATAAATCATCAAACATTCACATCTCCTTATTGTCTAATTTCACTAAATTGACATCTTGGTTTAGTTCAGAGGATGAGAGTAGAAGATTTATCTTCTCTGGGCTGAGACTCTGAGGTTAAAAAAAAGATTTATCTTCCCTCCTACCAATTAGTTGAGTGTTAGTTAATCATGAATTTGATATTTTATAATGCTCTATGTCAAGGACTGACAAACTTTTTCAATAAAGTGCAAGATAAATTATTTTAGGGTCGAGCATGGTGGCTTATGCCTGCAATCCCAGCACTCTGGAAGGCTGAGGTGGGTGGATCATGAGGTCAGGAGTTCCAGACCAGCCTGGCCAATACAGTGAAACCATCTCTACTAAAAATACAAAAATTAGCAGGGTGTGGTGGTGGGCACCTGTAATCCCAGCTACTTGGGAGGCTGAGGCAGAAAACTGCTTGAACCCAGGAGGTGGAAGTTGCAAGTGAGTCAAGATTGTACCACTATACTGCAGCCTGCGTGACAGGGCAAGACTCTGCCTCAAAAAAAAAAAAAAAAAAAAAGATATTTTATGGTGGTATGGTCTCTGTTTCATATTCGTCTTGTTTCTAAATTCTTTTTTATCTTCTTTTTTTTTTTTTTTAAGTGGTACAATCTCAGCTCACTGCAACTGCCAACTGAGTGTCGGCTCAGCTAATTTTCATATTTTTAGTAGAGATGGGGTTTTACCATGTTGGCCAGGCTGATCTCGAACTCCTGACCTCAAGTGATCCACCTACCTTGGCCTCCCAAAGTACTGGGATTACAGACGTGAGCTACCACTCCCGGCCTTTAAATTCCTTAAAAAATGTAAGAGCCATTCTTAGCTCAAAGGATAGACAGGCCAAAACAGGCAGCAGTTTGCTGAACCCTGCAGTATCCTATTCTGATTAAGTATATGAACATTTACTGAATGTTTAATATATGATGAGCAGCATTCTAACTACTATAAATATACAATACTCAATCAACATTCTATGTGCCAAGCAATGTTTCAGCAATACAAGATAGAGAAGAATTACATGTCCAAAAACAAAGTCCCTTAGACTTATGAAAAACTTACTAGAAGGTGAGGATTGTACCAAGTACTTTGTGTATTCATTCATCAGATATTATTGAATCCCTGCTGCATACTATTTGCTGTGATAGGGAAGCAGCAGTGGAAAACGTATTCTCAATTTATATATATATCAATCTGATGAAACAGGTACTATAGTATAACTATTTCCACTTTACACTGAGGAAGCTGGTTTATTGAGGATAAGTAAGTTCTCCAAGATCTCCAAGCTAAAAAATGAGAGAACTAGAATATAAACTGCTTCCAGCATCTATGCTTTTAGCTATTTCAGTCCAACATCAGTCTGAAGTGGCTCCACCATTACTTATTATGTCTTTGTGTATAAAACTTACTTGGAGTAGTTATTGCAGTTCTTTTATTTTTTCCAGGTTTGGATAACTCATCTGTGTAGAGAGATTTCTTTCTTTCTGAAGGTATCTTTGAGTCTTTGTTACCTAAATCCAAAGAAACAGAAATAATGAAGAATTTCAAAAAAGTTCTCATTAAGAAATATGTGGGCTGGGCGCGGTGGCTCAAGCCAATAATCCCAGCACTTTGGGAGGCCGAGGCAGGTGGATCACGAGGTCAAGAGATCAAGACCATCCTGGTCAACAAGGTGAAACCCCGTCTCTACTAAAAATACAAAAATTAGTGGGGCATGGTGGTGCACGCCTGTAGTCCCAGCTACTCGGGAGGCTGAGGCAGGAGAATTGCTTGAACCCAGAAGGTGGAGGTTGAGGTGAGCTGAGATCGTGCCATTACACTCCAGTCTGGGTAACAAGAGCAAAACTCCGTCTCAAAAAAAAATTTTTTTTTAATACATAAATAAATATAAATAATTAAAAAAAAAAAAAAAGAAATATGTGTAAGTTGGCTGGGTGCAGTGGCTCACATCTGTAATCCCAGCACTTTGGGAGGCCAAAGAGGACAGATCACCTAAGGTTGGGAGTTCAAGACCACCTTGACCAACATGGAGAAACCCAGTCTCTACTAAAAATACAAAATTAGCTGGGTGTGATGGTGCACGCCTGTAATCCCAGCTACTCGAGAGGCTGAGGAAGGAGAATCGTTTGTACCCGGGAGGTGGAAGTTGCAGTGAGCCGAGATCACGCCATTGCACAAGAGCAACATTCCATCTCCAAAAAGAAATATGTGTAAGTTAACACAGCATTTTCACCTGGTAGGCTCTACCAAGACGGTGGTAGAAACAGTACATAAGGAGTACAAAGAATTAGGTACAGCATTCCTACAATTACAGGTCATATGCTTCAAGCAGACATTCAGATATTTTCTGATACCTGTGGAGAAGTTATATAAACATATCAGAAAGTTGGCCAGGTGCTGTGGCTCATGCCTGTAATCCCAGTACTTTGAGGGGCTGAGGTGGGTGGATGGCTTGAACCCAGAGTTTGAGACCAGCCTGGGCAACACGAGGTCTCAAACCATCTCTCTTTTTAAAAAATTATTTAATATAAATTAAATTTAAACAAATATATATATCAGTTAAAAAAGAAACTTTTCAGTTTCTATATGAACATAATATTATTACAACCAAAATGATAAAAACCACGTAATCCAAGCAGCCAAAGAAACACCATTAACATTTTGCATATTTCCTCTGTTTCCTTGGTTGTTACTCATATTTGGTTGTGATTGCTTGTTTGATTGTTTTGAGACAGAATTTCACTCTGTTGCCCAGGCAGGAGTGCAGTAGCGTGATCTTGGCTCACTGCAATTTCTGCCTCCTGGATTCAAGAGATTCTCCTGCCTTAGCCTCCTGAATAGTTGGGATTACAAGTGTGAGCCACCGCATCTGGCTAATTTTTGTATTTTTATTAGAGACGGGGTTTTGTCCCGTTAACCAAGCTGGTCTCAAACTCCTGACCTCAAGTAATCCACCCACCTCGGCCTCCAAAAGTGTTGGGATTGCAACCATGAGCCACTGCACCCAGTTTGTTAGCTTTTGTTAATAGACAAGGTCTCACTATGGCCTTGAACTTCTGGGCTACTTCTGCCCAGTCTCCTGAGTAGCTGGGACCACAGGCATGTGTCACTGTAGCCAGCTTATTTTTTTTTTTAATCCAGTTGAAATTATGTTATATATTAGGTTTGGTATTTTTTTCCATTTACATAATCATTTTCCACATTCTGTCATTTGTTTTTTTACCTTAATGGAATTCATTAGGGAAGGAAGGAAAAGTACCATCGCAGGCAGAGGGAATAATACTGATATATAAAGATGTACTACAGTGAAAATAATGACATTCAGAGAGAGACTGAGGTAGGCTGAAATTGCCAAAATGTAGAGTGCATAAGAGGGAGTGGAAGACATTTAGAATAGGACAGGTAATAGGTTAAAGGGCCCCGTATAATATGCTATAGAGTTGAGTCTAATCTACAAATAGAAGAAAGCCTCGATCTTACATCTTTTTCAACTTGAGACAATCTATTTTAAAAATACACCATGAGTTTTCATCTCAATTATTTTTTTCTTTTCTTTCATCCACTGGTTTACAAGCAAGTGGGTTTCCAAGAAATACCATTTCTAAAGTTGTTGTTATCCTTACGATTCCCCAATGTATCCATAAAACAAGGCAAAAGAATGTCTGTCAGAGTTGATATGGCTGCAGGGGCTTCTGCTTATACTTTGGCTCTAAAACCAGAAAGTGAAAGTTTCATGAGAAACAGGATATTTGGCAGGGCTTGGTGGCTCACACCTGTAATCCTTGTACTTCGGGCAGCCGAAGCAGGTGGATCACCTGAGGTCAGGAGTTGGAGACCAGCCTGGCCAACATGGTGAAACTTTGTCTCTACTGAAAATACAAAAAGTAGCCAGGCATGGTGGTGCACACCTGTAATCCCAGCTACTTGGGAAGGTGAGACAGTAGATTTACTTGAGCCTGGGAGGCGAAGGTTGCAGTGAGCTGACATAGTGCCACTACACTCCCGCCTGGGTGAAAAAAGAGAGACTCAATCTCAAAACAAAAAACAAACAAAGGATATTTATGTGGAGTAACTCTGCACAGGATACTTATTCATTACAAGTGGTAAAAACGTAACTTCACAAAGTTACTAGCAGACACCACCATAAACAACTGGTAGAAGTTAACATGACTAGTCATAGGAAAAATCAGCACTTGTGCCTCCTAGGGTGCTTACAGAGGAAGCAACAGCATTGCTTTGTGGGATTCCTGCCAACAGCCCATAGTCTGAATCTAAACATAAGGACATATTAGACAAACCAAGTCAGAGAAGAAAAAACTAGCCTGTATTAAAAAATGTTGGCCAGGCATGGTGGCTCACCCCTGTAAACCCAGCATTTTGGGAGGCTGAAGTAGGGAGTTCAGGAGTTCGAGACCAGCCTTGGCAACATGGCGAAACCCCGGCTCTACTAAAAATACAAAAATTAGCCGGGCATGGTGGTGCATGCCTTTAGTTCCAGCTACTTGGGAGGCTGAGGCTGCAGTGAGCTGAGATTGTGCCACTGCACTCCAGCCTGGGCAACAGAGCAAGATTCTGTCTCAAATAATAATAACAATTGGGTCTTTCTTTTCAAAAGCTCCTCTCTCTCACTAGAGAGGGCTATTCTCCTTTCTCTTTCTTTTGCCTACTAAACCTCTGGTGTGATCTCAGCTCACTGTAACCTACACCTCCCGGGTTCAAGCAATTCTCCTGCCTTAGCCTCCTGAGTAGCTGGGATTACAGGTGTGTGCCTCAGTGCTTGGTTAATTTTTGTATTTTTAGTAGAAACAGTGTTTCACAGCTGGGCACTGTGGCTCACACCTGTAACCCCAGCACTTTAGGAAAGCTGAGGTGGGTGGATCACCTGAGGTCAGGAGTTCAAGACCAGCCTGGCCAACATGGTGAAACCCTGTCTCTAGTAAAAATAAAAAATTAGCTGAGTGTGGTGGCATGTGACTGTAGTCCCAGCTACTCAGGAGACTGAGGCAGGAGAATCGCTTGAACCTGGGAGGTGGAGGCTGCAGTGAGCTGAGATTGTACCACTGCACTCTAGCCTGGGCGACGGGTGGCAGAGTGAGACTCCATCCCAATAAAATAAAATAAAACAACAGGGTTTTGCAACGTTGGCCAGGCTGATCTCAAACTCATGGCCTTAAGTGATCCGTCCCCCTTGGCTTTCCAAAGTGCTAGGATTACAGGTGTGAGCCACCAAGCCCAGCCCAACACTTAGAAATTCTATAACAGGTCAGGCATGGTGGCTTATACCTGTAATCCCAGCAATTTGGGAGGGCAAGGCAGGTAAATTACCTGAGGTCAGGAGTTCAACACCAGCCCGATCAACATGGTGAAACACCCACCTCTACTAAAAATACAAAAATTAGCCAGGCATAATGGCATGCGCCTATAATCCCAGCTATTCAGGAGGCTGAGGCGGGAGAATCCCTTGAACTAGGGAGGCGGAGGTTGCAGTGAGCCAAGATCACTGCATTGCACTCCAGCCTGGGCAACACAGCAAGACTCCACCTCAAAAAAAAAAAAGGAAAGAAATTGTATAACATCGTGCTGTGGGTTGAATTGTAGGCTCCTAAAAGATATATTGAAGTCCTAGCAACTGATCCCTGTCATATGACCTTATTTAGATACAGGCTTTTTTTTCAGCTGCAATAAACTTAAAATGAAGTCATTTGGACCTTCTTTTAATTTTTTGACACATCCCTCGCTGTGTCCAGGCAGGGATAAAGTAGTATGAACATGGCTAATGGCAGCCTTAACCTCCTGGGTTCAAGTGACCTCACCGCAGCCTCCTGAGTAGCTGGGACCACAGGTGTGCACCATCATGGCTGGCTAATTCTTTTTGTAGAGACAGGTTCTCACCATGTTGCCCAGGCTGGTCCAGAACTCCTAGGCACAAGCAATCCTCCTACCTTGACTTCCTAAAGTAATGGGAGTACAGGCATGAGCCACTATGCCTGACCTATTTGGATGGATCCTAATACAATATAACTGGTGTCCTATTAAGAAGACACAGAGAATGTCATGCACTGTCAGAGCCAGAGACTGGCATGATACAGCTGCAACCTATACCTGCCAGGTTCAAGTAATTCTCCCACCTCAGCCTCCTGAGTAGCTGGGATTGAAGGTGTGTGCCTCAGTGCCTCTTTTGTACTTTTAGTAGAAACAGGGTTTCATGGCTGGGTGTGGACACCAGGCATCGACAGCCATCGCAAAGTAGTCAGACGCAAAGAAGGATTCCACCCAGAGTCTCAGAGAAACATGGTCTTGCTGACACATTGATTTTGGACTTCCAGCCTCTAGAACTATGAAAGAGTAAATTTCTGTTGTTCTAAGCCGCCAGTTTGTGGTACTTTGTCATGACAGTCCTAAGATATTAATGTACATGGCTACTTCTAGCAATTCTGTTTTTTTTTTTGAGATGGAGTCTCACTGCCACCCAGGCTGGAGTGCAGTAGCTCAATCTTGGCTCACTGCAACTTCCACCTCCCGGGTTCAAGCAATTCTCCGGCCTCAGCCTCCTGAGTAGCTGGGACAACAGGTGCATGCTACCACACCTTGCTAATTTTTATTTTTAGTAGACATGGGGTTTCACCATGTTGGCCAGGCTGGTCTTGAACTCCTGACTTCACGTGATCTGCCTGTCTTGGCCTCTCAAAGTGCTGGTATGAGCCACTGTGCCTGACTGCAATTCTGGTTTTTAAAAAGTTACCTGACATACCATTTATTCTGCGTTTTCCTGAGGAAACAGCATTCTTAGCTCCTTGGTGCTCGTCTGGAGAATAACCTTTTGCAGTTGTTCTGAAATCCTGGCTTTCCTGCTTTTCATGATTCTGGAATTTACTGGGATCACTTATTTTTGTTTCTGAATGATCCTGCTACAAATTTAAAAAAGGAAATAAAAGATTTCGATGATAAATAAGAATTGCTGCCTTCTAAAGATAAGTACCAGAATGAGGAGAAAAAGGGGTCAAAGGAAGAAAAGTAGGAGAATGAGATTTTTGGTGGCAGATTTGGTTCTCTGCATTATTAAGTGTCACGAGAACATACATTTGAGAATAAGAGATACTAGGGCACATTAACAGGTGCGAGATTAGCTGTCTTAGCAAGGACAAATGAAGAAACCTAGATAGTCTACTGAGCAAATAACTATATGAAGATAGAAAAGAAAAGTAATACACTGTTTCGGCGCCAGGCCTGGTGGCTCATGCTCATAATCCCAGAACTTTGGGAGCTCGAGATGCATGGATCACCTGAGGTCAGGAGTTTGAGACCAGCCTGGTCAACATGGTGAAATCCTATGTCTACTGAAAATATAAAAATTAGCTGGGCATAGTGGTGGGCACCTGTAATCCCAGCTACTTGGGAGGCAGAGGCAAGGCAGGAGAATTGCTTGAACCCAGGAGGCAGAGGTTGCAGTGAGCTGAGATCATGCCTTTGCACTCCATACTGGACAACGAGAGTGAAACTCCATCTCAGAAAACAAACAAACAAAAAGGCTGGGCATGGTGGCTCATGCCTGTAACCTGTAATCCCAACACTTTGGGGAGGCCGAGGAGGGCGGATTACTTGAGGTCAGGAGTTTGAGACCAGCCTGGCCAACATGGTGAAACCCCATCTCTACTAAAAATGCAAAAAATTAGCTGGGTATGGTGGCAGGCATCCTGTAATCCCAGCTACTCGGGAGGCTAAGGTAGGAGAATTGCTTAAACCTAGGAAACTGAGGTTGCAGTGAGCCGAGATCGCGCCACTGCACTCCAGCCTGGCGCCTGGTGACAGAGCAAGACTCTGTCTCACACACAAAATAACAAAAAAGCACATTTAATGTTTGTTTCTCTTTTCTTCCTATCTACTGCATTTCCCTTAAGTAAACACGTAATGAATGTTCATAGTTATACAACGAATATTTAATGTGAGCTTAATACTTAAAAAGTGCTTCCTGAGGGAGAAGCCCTGAGATGCAGTGATGAGCAGCTGGACTTGGGTCTGCTTTTTTTTTTTCATTTTTGTTTTGATTTTCTTCGGGTATGGGTTTTCATGAAGCTTACAGTACATAGCAAGCTTACAAACATATGACATCACATGGGAATTTAGAAAGAAAGCTTAAGAATATGCCAATTTTGGCATAGGTGGTGGTTTATTTTCAGCTTGTAAATATCCATTCACCTGGGAGTCAGGGTCCACACGGATAGTCTTGTGCCTTCTCCTTGTTTTGGTGACATGGCCAGTTGGCTCTCTCTCAGCTTGTTCCTGGCTGCTGATCTGTATCTCAGTCTCATCACAAGAGGATGCAGAAGTTTGACATTCATCCTGAAAAGAGAGGTATTAATCTGCTATGTGCTATGTATATAGTTATAATGCTCAGAAAGAATCAGAATTTAGACTGAATAAAAAACATATTACAGATGCAAAAGAAAAATTTTAAAACTCTCTAACACTAAATTGTTGGCAAACACAAGAATTATAGAGTATTAGGCCAGGCATGGTGGCTCACACCTGTAATCCCAAAACTTTGGGAAATCCATGTCAAGTGGATCACCTGAGGCCAGGAGTTTTTTGATGGCTGGAAAACTTGGTCCATTCTCATTCTTTCACACCAAAATGAAATCCGGAAGGATCATTTTATTTCGTTAGATGTTTTGGAGATAGGGTCTTATTCTGTCACGCAGGCTGGAGTGCAGTGTCATAATCAGGGCTCATTGGAGTCTGGACTTTCTGGGCTCAGGCAATCCTCCCACTTCAGCTGCCTGAGTAGCTGGAACTATAGGTGTGCACCACACCTGGCTAATATTTTGTATTTTTTTTGTAGAGGATGGGGTTTTGCCATGTTGCCTGGAGTTATCTAGAACTCCTGGGCTCAAGGGATGTGCCCACCTCAGCCTCCTGAAGTGCTGGAATTACAGGCACAAACCACCGCGCCTGGCCATGAAATTAAAGATTTAAATGCAAAAGTTGAACTATAAAAGCACACTAGAAAAGAAATAGGTGAATATATTATCATGAATGTGAGGAAGTCCTTCTTTTTTATATTTTATTTATTTATTTATATATTTTTTGAGATAGAGTCTTGTTCTGTCGCCCAGACGGGAGTGCTGTGGCCCAATCTGAGCTCACTGCAACCTTTATCTCCTGGGTTCAAGAGATTCTCCTGCCTCAGCGTCCCAAGTAGCTGGGACTACAGGCACGTGCCACCACATCTGGCTAATTTTTGTATTTTATTTTTGAATAATTTTTTGAAACAGATGGGGTTTCACTGTGTTAGCCAGGCTGGTCTTGATTTCCTGATCTCATGATCCCCCCACATTAGCCTCCTGAAGTGCTGGTATTACAGGTGTGAGCCACAGTGCCCAGCTGATGAAGTCCTTCTTAAGCATGTTATCTTACCTGGAAACTGTAAAGAAAAACCTTGATTTGGTTTTGGTGTTTATGTATTTTGTTGTAAGTAAATGCTAATTTAAAAAGATGAACCAATACATACATATGGCTGAAAAAAATCAAATACCATAGAAAAGATTATAATGAAAGCAACTGGGGCCGGGTGTAGTGGCTCAACTATAATGCCAGCACCTTGGGAGGCAGATGGGAAGGATTACTCGTGGTCAGGAGTTGAAGACTAGCCTGGCAAACATGGTGAAACCCTGTCTCTACTAAAAATACAAAAAATTAGCTAGGCATGGTGGCATGCATCTGTAATCCCGGCTACTCGGGAGGCAGAGGTTGTAGTGAGCCCAGATTGCACCACTGCACTCGAGCCTGGGTGACAAAGTGAGACTGTGTCTCAAAACAAAAAAAGAAAAACAATTGGTTCTCTGCCCAACCTTGTTATTCATGAGGCTTAAGTTCAGGTGGTTATTTACATATCTCTAGTGATTTGCTGACAGGATGGGATATTCATTCATATTTCCCTATTTTTAGTGCCTATCACATGCTAAAGTTTAGCTTATTTGTACTCTCATCTTCCTAAGAGAATTATACCACTTTTGTCACTCTATTACTTTTACCGTTTTTTTCTTTTGAGACAGAGTTTTGCTCTTGACACCCAGGCTGGAGTGCAATAGGGTGATCTTGGCTCACTGCAACGTCCACCTCCTGGGTTCAAGCAATTCTCCCGCCTCAGCCTCCTGAGTAGCTGGGACTATAGGTGCCTGACACCACACCTGGCTAATTTTTGTATTTTTTTGTTTTTGTGTTTTGGATGAAGTCTGGCTCTGTTGCTCAGGCTAAAGTTCAGTGGTACGACGTCAGCTCTCTGCAACCTCTGCCTTCCAGGTTTCAAGCAATTCTCCCACCTTAGCCTCCCAAGTAGCTGGGATTACAGGTGCATGCCACTATGCCTGGAAGCTTTTTTTATTTTTTGCAGACAGGGTTTTGCCATGTTGGCCAGGCTGGTCTCCTGACCTCAGGTGATCCGCCTGCCTTGGCCTCCCAAAGTGCTGGGATTATAGGCGTGAATTACTAGGCCCGGCCAATTTTTAAATTTTTAATAGAGACAGGGTTTCACCATGTTGGCCAGGGTATTCTTGAACTCCTCTGCCCGCCTTGGCCTCCCAAAGTGCTGGGATTACAGATGTGAGCCACTGCACCCGGCTTTAGTTACTTTTATATATACATTTAAATCTTGTTGTACAACTATAGGCAATATATCCTCTAAGCTACAGATATTGGCACCTTTGTATGTCACTATACCTCTTGTTCTTCCTTTCACTTCCCAAGTTCTGTCATCTATTCATTATTGGCATCAAAGTTGATAACATTTATAGTCTGTTTTATAATCTTATTTTTTCTGTCTCTTTTTGTTTTTTTTTGAGACAGGGTCTCACTCCCATTGCCCAGGATGGAGTATAGTGGCATGATCTTGGCTCACTGCAGCCATGACTTCCCGGGCTCAAGTGATCCTTCCACCTTAGCCTCCCTAGTAGCTGAGCTAGGACTACATGGGCACTCCACCACGCCCAGCTAATTTTTATATTTTTTGTAGAGACAGAGTTTTGCTATGTTGTCCAGGCTGGTCTCAAACTCCTGGGCTTAAGCAGTCTGCCTGTCTCGGCCTCCCAAAGTGTTGGGATTTCAGGTGTTAGCCACCATGCCTGGCTTTGTTATATAACCTTAATTGTATCATCTATGCTTAGTCTACCTAGCTTTATTTTAAGAGTTGATAAATCAGTAAGTCATTGTAATACTTTTTAAAAAACAAGCTGGGCTGGGTGTGGTGGCTCACACCTGTAATCCCAGCACTTTGGGAGGCCAAGGCAGGCAGATCACGAAGTCAGGAGATTGAGACCACCCTGGCTAACACGGTGAAACCTCATCTCTACGGTAAAAATACAAAAAAGTAGCCGGGCATGATGGCATGTGCCTGTAGTCCCAGCTACTCAGGAGGCTGAGGCAGGAGAATTACTTGAACCCGAGGGTTGCAGTGAGACGAGATCACGCCACTGCACTCCAGCCTGGGCGACAAGAGCAAACTCTGTCTAAAAAAAAAAAACCACAATAAAAGTAACTAATAGAGTGACTAAAGTGGTATAATTCTCCTACAAAGATGATGGCAAGATGAGACTCCATCTTGAGAAAAGAAAAAAAAGCTGTTGGCCAGATGCAGTGGCTCATACCTGTAATCCCAGCACTTTCAGAGGCCAAGGTATTGGTCAGGAACTCGAGACCAGCCTGGCCAACATGGAGAAACTCTGTCTCTACTAAAAATACAAAAAAGTTAGCTGGGCATCGTGGTGTGTGCCTGTAATCCCAGCTACTCAGGAGGCTAAGGCAGGAGAATCGCCTGACCCGGGAGTTGGAGGTTGCGGTGAGCTGAGATCACGCCATTGCACCCCAGCCTGGGCAACAAGAGCAAAACTCTGTCTAAGAAAAAAAAAAAATGGTACAAAGGTAAAATGTTCTAGAGGAGCAATAATTGCATTTTTGCTAGGAAAGTAAGCCCAGGAGGGTAAGGCATGAGAATCACTTGAACCTGGGAGGCACAGGTTGCAGTCAGCCGAGATCATGCCACTGCACTCCAGCCTAGATAACAGAGTGAGACTCTGTCTCAAAAAAATAAAACAAAACAACAAGCTATCAGTTATTTTTTGTATTATCTTCATTTCCCTTTAGGGTCATCTTTTTATTTCCTTCTTTTTTAGAGATAATATCTTGCTCTGTTGCCCAGGCTGGATTACAGTAGCTTGCTCAGAGTTCACTGCAGCCTCTATTTCCTCAGCACAACTGACCCTCCCAATCAGCTGGGTCCACAGGTATGTGTCACCACACCTAGCTAATTGTTTTAATTTTGTAGAAATAGGGTCTCCTTATGTTACCCAAGCCGGTTGTGAACTCCTAGGCTGAAGACATCCTCCTGCTTTAGCCTCCCAAAATGCTGGGATTATAGGCGTAAGCCTCTATGCCCAGTCCATTTTCTTTTTAACTTTCCTCAAATGTCTCATGATTGTTGGTTATCTATTGGTATTTCTTTCTCTCTTTTTTTTTTTTTGAGACAGGGTCTCCCTCTGTCACCCAGGCTGAAGTGCAATGGTGTGAGCCACCACAGCCGGCCAACAGCATGTCTTAAGTCATCTCGAGTTGTGTGTTAATTGCCCATTAACTAAATATGATTCTTTTGCTAGCTAACAGGTAAACATAAAAAACATTACTCACCTGATTCTCATTTCCTTTTCTTGCCTCACGATTAATGTGGCCTTTCAAGGCTTTTAGCAACTTGTCTGCCTGCAAGAGGGATCTTATAATCAGAGCCAAAAATCAAACAAGAAAGACAACGAACATTTTCTGCTGTTCTTGTATTCATTAAATGTACTCTGGTCAGACCATAGGATGGGAACCATTACTTAGATAGAAGGGGGTCTCTGCTCTAAGGAATTTCACATCCGAGTGGAAAAGTTAGACAAGGAAAGAGGGAATTGCGATACAGTGGGGTAAATGCCCATGCTATGAGGCTCAGGCTGTCTTGGGAACATAGGTAGGTGTGGCCATTAAAGTTGGGACTGCTAGGGTAGACTTCAGCAAGTATCTGCACAGGGCAATTCTCAGATAAAGATGTGATGTCTCTAATTGCTGAGATCTAAAGCATGAACAGGAGAGCTGAATGTAGAGAAACAGGTAGAGGAATAGCACAGCAAGGCAACAATGAGGGTGGAGTTTGCAGAACTGAAGTTCAGTGTGGCTGGAGCATGGAGCTGTTGCAGGAGATAGCAGGAGACAATGCTGGGAAAGTGAGCAGGGGCCTCATGTTGCCAGGTCTTGCAAGCCTTTAAAGAGTATGAACTTTACTCTCAGAGAAAAGGGCAATCTCTGAAGAGTTTGCAGTAAGGCAGTGGGTGACCAATTCTGCATTACTCAGAATGATTACTCTACCTGCACAATGTGCAAGATGATTTTGATGGGGATGAGACTGAAGACAAGGAAACAGCTAGGAGGCTAAGGTAGGAAACCAGAGATGCTGTGGCCTGAATTAGAGCACAATTAAGGCAATGTGGATGGAGTCAAAACCCTCTTAGGAAGTGAAATCAATATGAACATGAGAGTTGAAGAAGAGGGAAACTTTGTTATGCCAAGTTTTCTGGCTTGGACAGCTGGTGAAGTGTGGTACAGTCCCTAAGATGAGGAATGCAAAAGGTGATAGGGTCTATAACCAACAGGGGGATGGTTATAGGTCCTTGTGGAGGGAAGGGAACACTGAGCTTCTCTTCCTAACCTAGGAAAGCTTTCCTTGTTGTTCTTTCCTGAAAGAAGAATATTAATTTGGTTGGTTACATTTTTCTGTGCTTTAAAAGTCAAGTTTATTGGTTGGGTTCTCTTTTCTTCCTCTTCCACCCAGCCATGCAGTTGAGGGCCAGAGCCATCCTTCTCAACATGTGCCTGGCCACCAGGTTTGGCTCTATTCTTCTTACACCTTTTATGATGGGCCATGTGTCTAGTAGAGAGAATGGCAAAGATCCTGAAATTTGGTTTGTGCTGAAGCTTTTGCTTGTGGTGCAAGTCTAAGCCACATCTTCCAATCCACTATACCAGAATACTCCGCATTGACATATCAGGCACCATTTCAGCTAGTAATATAAAGTGGTATCTTATTTTCTACTTGTTTCTTGAACCACTCTTGGGGTTTTCTCCGGGAAGGGGGTGATTGGCAGGTCAGAATTCAGGCTTCTTGATTCTTCTAACACCTTCTTAATATACCTTCAAAATCTCACCAAACATACAAAAATGAATGAAGTGAGGCACCTGTGGCAGAGCCAAGTGAGGAGACTGAATGATATGAGGTGGTGTTCAAGAATTGTGCTAGAGGTACAGATGTTAGTTATCAGCATATATTCATGCATTCCTTCAACAAGCTTTTATTGTGCTGGGCACTGTTCCAGACACTAGAGAGTGATGAACTAAACAGACAAGGTAACTGTCTTCCAGGATCTTCTAGCAGTGGTGAAATAGTCTGTTACCCAAGAAAGCTAGAAATGAATGATATGACATGAGGTATTATGAAGCAAAAATAAAACTGGGCAACTGGGGTGGAGTGGGGATGCTACCTGAATCAGGATAGTTGAGAAACGCCTCTCTGAGGTGGTGGCCTGAACTGAGATGTGAATGAGGCAAAAGCACTCCAAGCAGAGTAAGCACCACAAACAGGAGCCCTGAGATGGACCCATGAGTTGAAGGACAGAAACTGCCCTTACGGTAGGAGCATGGTGAACACTGAGGTGGGAGGAAGGCAGGGAGATCAGAGGTGACCACAGGGTGGGTCAAGTAGAGAGGTAAAGGCCACAGCCAAAATTAAGGATTTTTGAAGGGCATAGTGACTCAGGCCTGTAATCCCAGCACTTTAGGAGGCTGAGATGGGCGGATCACCCAAGGTTAGGAGTTCAAGACCAGCCTGGCCAACATGGGGAAACCCTGTCTCTACTAAAAATATAAAAAATACTGGGTGTGGTGGTGGGTGCCTGTAATCCGAGCTACTCAGGAGGCTAAGGCGGGAGAATTGCTTGAACATGGGAGGTAGAGGTTGCAGTGAGCCAAGATCACACCACTGCACTCCTGCCTGGATGACAAGAGCAAAACTCAAAAAAAAAAAAGAATTTCTTCCCCTAACATGTTATTAGAAAAAAATGTCAGGCCTACAGAAAAGCCACAGTAGTACAATAGACACTCCTATTTCCCACTAAGATTCAACTATCATTTACATTGTCTCATATTTGGTTTCTCTATATTAAATAGATATTTCTTGTGAAATAATTTGAAAACATGTCCCAGACATCATGATACTTTACTACTAAATATATGAGCCACAATTCCTAAAAATAAAGAAAAATTTTCCCACATAACCTTTAATACTTTGTATACTCAGGAAAAGCAGTAATTTCCTAATATTACCTACTATGTAGCCCATAAAGAAATTTCTCTCCAATTTTATGTCTCCAATTTTAGCTATTTTCTTTTTAAAAAGATTTCCCTCCAAATGAATATCACACTATTTCACTCATTACATTGCAAAGAGTTTAGATTTTATTTTAGATGTGAGAGAAGTCACTGGAGGGCACTAAGCAGAAAAAGACATGTTCTAAGTTTCTTTCTTTCTTAGACAGAGTTGTGTTCTGTTGCCCAGGCCGGAGTGTAGTGGCATGATCTTGGCTCACTGTAGCTGCTCCTCTCAGGTTCAAGGGATTCTTGTGTCTTATCCTCCTGACTAGTTGGGATTACAGGTGCGCATCACCATGCCTGGCTAATTCATACATACATACTTTTTAAAGTAGAGCCAGGATTTGGCCATCTTGGCCAGGCTGGTCTCAAACTCCTGGCCTCAAGCAGTCCAATCACTGCAGCCTCCCAAAGTGCTGGGATTACAGACATGAGCCACCACACCTGGTCTTTCTTTCCCTTTTTTTTTTTCCCTAAGTTTCACATATCACTCTGACTACCAAGAGAACACTATTGTGAGGTTAAGAGTAGAGGCAGGAAGCCCACTAGGGAGACTGAGGCAGTGGTCAAAAGATGACAGTGCTGTGGCACAGGTTTGCAGCATTAGAGATGGTCCCCAGAGGTCAGATTTCAGGTCTATTTAGGAGGAGGTGCTGACAAGGTTAGAAGGCTGTGGGTGAAGAAGAGAGTCATCAAGGGTGATCCAAACTGGGCCTGAACCATGTACTGAGAGGGAGAAGACACTGTCGATGCTTGGAACTGACTGTGTTGTTGAATATGCACTGAAACACATGAGTCAGCATCTCAGGGGAGAAGTCCTACTGGAGATGTGGGTTTGGGAGGCATTAGCTTCTGAGTAAATTTAAAGTTACGGAAGTAGGCTGGACGCAGTGGCTCATGCCTGTAATCCCGGCACTTTGGGAGGCTAAGGCAGGTGGATCACTTGAGGTCAGGAGTTTGAAACCAGCCTGGCCAACATGGTGAAACCCTGTTTCTACTAAAAATACCAAAAAATTAGCCGAGTGTGGTGGCCGGTGCCTGTAATCCCAGCTACTTGGGAGGCTGAGGCAGGAGAATTGCTTGAACTCGGGAAGTGGAGGCTGTAGTGAGCTGAGATCACACCACTGTATTTGAGCCTGGGTGACAGAGCAAGGCTGTCTCAAAAAAAAAGGCTGGGCACAGTGGCTCATGCCTGTAATTTCAGCACTTTGGGAGGCCAAGGCAGGTGGATCACGAGGTCACGAGATGGAGACCAGCCTGGCCAATATAGTGAAACTCCATCTCTACTAAAAATGCAAAAATCAGTTGGGTGTGGTGGCCCATGCCTATAATCCCAGCCACTCGGGAGGCTGAAGCATGAGAATCGCTTGAACCCAGGAGACGAAGGTTGCAGTGAGCCAAGATAGTGCCATTGCACTCTAGCCTGGTGACAGAATGAGATTCTGTCTCGGGGGAGGGGAAATGGGGTAGAGATTACCAAGGGATAGAGCACAGTTAAAGAAAAGAGCAAAGGAGAGAGCCCTGGGCACTCCACATTTAGAGATCTGGCAAAGAACCAACTAAGAAGTCTACAAAGAAGTTCTAGTAAGGCAGGATAGGGTGAAATATCAAAGTCTACAACCGAAAGTGGCTGGATCAGAGAGGAATGTTCAATCTTGCCAAATGCTACTGATAGACACAGGTGAGGGAAAGACGAACACAAGCTTTGTAAGATGGTGACCTTAATAAAAGCAATTTCAGTAGAAAAGAACAGAGAAATCCGGCAGAAGATGGAATGAAGACATGGGGTCAGGAGAGGATTTTGGCTTTTTATTTTTTTTAAAGATGGGTGATAGTAAAATATGATTGCATGCCTTATGGCAATAAGCTAGCAGAGTGGAGAAACTGATGCAGGAGAGAAGCTCTAACTGTGGGAATGTAGTCCTAGGGGAGGCAGGAGGGCTCAGGATCTTCAGTATAAATGGAAAGGTTGCCTTTAGATGTTGAGAAACTTAACTTTACCCTGCCCCCATGGTTCCTTTGTGGGGAATACCTTTTAGTTTGTAATTAGTGGTAGGTGGGTACCAGCTGCTTACTTGATGTATTTTTAAGTTATGAGTAAATAGAACACCTGTGTATTCATGAGACTCACCTAAGAGCAACTAAATATGTGGATAAAAGTCTGCTCCAGGCATTCAGCCTGGAGAGCTGTAAGCCCCATAGGCTCTCAGGCTGTTGGTCCCCAGGTTAGATACACTCTGTTGTGCTATCTGGGTGTCTGCCTCTCAAATATCTTCAGCGCTAGAAGGTTTGGCGGTGGGACAAAGCCCAGGGGCTCAAGCCTGTAATCCCAGCACTTTGGGAGGACAAGGCAGGAGGATTGCTGAATCTCAGGAGTTGGAGACCAGACTGGGCAACATAGTGAGACCGCATCTCTATTAAAATTCAAAAAAAATTGGCCAGGCATAGTGGTCATGCCTGTAGTCCTAGTTACTCAGGGGTCTGAGGTGGGAGGATTGCTTGAGCCCTAATCACACCATTGCACTCCAGCGAACTCCAGCCTGGCTGACAGAGCAAGAGCCTGTCTTAAAAAAAAAAAAAAAAGAAGAAGAAGAAGAAAAAACAGTGGGGATTTGGTGGTTGAAGGATTAGGTAGTTTTCTGTTGATTGCATCTATTTTCCCATGACCTATGAGGTAAAGTCATCAAAGGAGGGAAGGGAGCCAAGTTGAGTCAAGATAAGAAGTATCAAAAGTAGGAAAGTTCATGACTAACAAGGAAATGGGCCAGGTATGGTGGCACGTGCCTATAATCCCACCTACTTGGGAGGCTGAGGGGAGAGGATGGCTTGAGCCTGGTAGATTGAGGCTGCAGTGGGCCCTGATTATGCCACTGAAGCCTGGGCAACAGAACGAGACCTTATCTCTGGGGGTGGGGGGGGAGGAGGATCAAATTCTCATTTTAAGGTTTACAGTCATATATCTAAAATTAGCTCAGTCAACAAAGTTAGGTATTTTTCTCCAGCTAGAGTTAGCTGCAGACATATAAGCAAAGATTAAGCACATAGCTGGGTTTAATCAGGCTTCGGTTTTGCCAGGTGAGTAGAGGGAGGTGCAAGGAAGTGGAAATAGTGCCAGTATTTGTAATTTAAGCTCACAAGAAAGGAAGTGAGGACATGATTGAGAAAAGGTCCAGTGGCCACACAAACATTAATAACTGGTTTCTTCAATTTTCTTTACCATTAAGAGAAGTCTCTCAAAAGAAAGAGCTAATATTCTCTCCTATAAATTTATTAGTAGTAGTAGTAGTATTTTTAGACGGAGTTTTGCTCTTATCGCCCAGGCTGGAGTGCAATGGTGAGATCTCCCATGACTGCATCATCCGCCTCCCTGGTTTAAGCAATTCTCCTGTCTCAGCCTCTTGAGTAGCTGGGATTACAGGTGCTGGCCACCACGCCCAGCTAATTTTTGTATTTTTAGTAGAGACAGGGTTTCACCATGTTGGCCAGGCTGATCTTGAACTTCTGACCTCAGGTGATCCACCTGCCTTGGCCTCCCAAATGCTGGCATTATAAGCAGAAGACACCATGCCCAGTCACAAAATTATTAAAAATATCATACTAGTAAAATTTATTTAAATTGTGTTGTTTCATTTTCATGAAATCTTGATAATTTCTCAGAGAATTTTATTAATATTTTTGCTATGTACTAGATTTCAAAAGGCAATTGACTTAATGAGCTCTTGGGATGTACCAACAGGAAGTAATTTAAAACATATTATGGAAAATTTCAAACCTACAAAACTGGAGAGAATAGTACAATCCCATGTACCTATCACCAGTTTCAGTAATTATTAACATTATGCTATTCTTCACCTAGTTTCTCCCTTTTTCCTCGAGTATTTTACAGCAAATTTTGCAGTTATCATGACATTTTACCTATAAATACTTGATATGGGCCAGGTGTGGTGGCTCATGCCTGTAATCTCAGCACTTTGGGAGGCCGTGGCTGGAGGATCACTTGAGCTCAGGAGTTCAAGACCAACCTCGGCAAAATGGTGAAACCCTATCTCTACTAAAAATACAGACACACACACACACACACACACACACACACACACACACACAATTAGCCAGGCAGATAAAGGAGAGAGAAGGGGATCTGAGGCCAAAGGGTCAAAATAAGCAATTGCACAAAGATGGATAAAAGTGCCAAGTGTTCAGGGATACAGCCTTGGATAAAAGACTCCAGCCAGGCAGCAAAAAGGCCTAAGGAATTTATAGGGGAGCCATTAGCCACTATAGCTCAGAAATATCCCCAAGGACAACCCTTTGGTCATTCAGCCCCAACAGGCACCTAGGCTCTAATTATTTTATTTAAACCATTTAAAAACGTTTGTGATGACTGATTTAGGCATTTATTCAGTGTCAGTATCATAGCCTGCAGGACAAAACTCCAGAGTATACAGCAGTATTAAGTGGAAAGTCTCAACTATTAAGAAAGTATATAAAACTGCAATCCAACATTGAATGCCCAAATCTTCTTCTTCTTTTTTTTGAGAAATAGAGTCTTGCTCTGTCCCTGAGGCTGGAGTGCAGTTGCATGATCCCGGCTAAACGTCCGCTCCAGCGTTCGACGCCTGGTTCATTTTTTAATGACTAGACTGGTCTCCAACTCTTGACCTCAGGTGATCCGCCTGCCTCGGCCTCCTAAAGTGCTGGGATTACAGGTGCGAGCCACCGCGCCCGGCCAATTCTCCAAAACATCTTGCAGCCTTGGAGTCAAAGACCTTACTGGTTTTGAACGAGACCATCGCCACAGTAGTCATCAATAAGTACATGATTACACTAGATCAGCGCTGAGTTATAAAAATTCACCCATGGAGGTGGTCCTCTAAAAGTCGTTTTTTGTTTTTTTTTTCCCTGACAGGTCCACCAACAAAGCATCAAGAAATGATCGGCAATATTACAAATCACTGAAGTCTAACTGTTGGGGAGTTTTCTAGCAGCTAAGCCAATTACGTATTTAACTGTCTAACGATTAACAACAGGGCTTTCTGGGCCTGCGTTTCGTCATCAATGCCCTGAGAGGTATAATTTCAAAAACAAAACAAAACAACAAACCAGCAAAAACACCAAGAGCAGCCAGCCTCAAAATGAGGTGAAAACTACAGTTCTTTTTCCGTTTCGCTGAGTTCTAACTGGGACCACCGTGAACTACATCTACAGCTCGAGGGGCAGGGACAGCCGCCTCGGCCCCGGGCTTCCCGCTCTATCCCTTCGCACCACATCTCCCCAAGGCCGCTATTCCCGCGGATCCCGCCCAGGGGCCTGCACCGCCAGCACCATACCCTCAGGTTGGCCCGGAGACCCAGACTCTTGGCTAAGTTCTGCAGGTCGCTGTACTTGAGGGAGTCCAGCTCCTCTAGGGAGGGGACGACCATCGCGATTCGAAATTCCGGCGATACTCAGAAGACGGATCACACAACTCCGGTAGAACAGTTGAAATCCCTGGCTCCACTTCCAGCTTTGACCAAACAGAAATTTACATACAGTTTAAAAAATGAAGAATGCCGCGCTTCCACTGGTTGAAAATGCCCCAAAGGCGGGATTTCTAACCCTGACCAATAGAAAGGCTGATTTCCCGTCCCATCAGACGCGCGCTTTTCCCACATCTCAGGAATGCGCGGGTGCCTGAAGTGCCTGCAAGGCGTGTGCAGGTAACCAGCGCAGAGCAGACCCCGCTGCCCACGATGTCCAATGAGGACGCAGGAGCTGTGCTTGGGGCGTGGCCTAGCGTGTATTCGAAACGGAGGCGCCGGCTGCAGGAAGATGGCGGCTCAGCCCCGGCGGCGTTTTTCGCCGCGTGCAAGGCCACCCCAGGTTGACTTTTGCGATGGCACTGAGAGGACGATTGACGAAGCTTCTTTTACGACCTCCATGGAGTGGGATACTCACGTGGTGAACGGGTCCTCGCCGCTCGGCCCCGCGGGGCTGGAGGCTGAGGAGCTGGCCACCGGCCAGCAGCTACCGTCTTGGCTGCAGCCTGAGCGGTGCGCTGTGTTCCAGTGCGCACAGTGCCACGCGGTGCTCGCCGATTCGGTGCATCTCGCCTGGGACCTGTCGCGATCCCTCGGGGCCGTGGTCTTCTCCAGTGAGTGCAATGCGGCATTCGGGAAAGGTAGAGACGAGCCCGAGAGGCTGTTCCGCTTTCTCCATCGGTGGAGGAGAACCACCGGGGGAAGAAAACGGGATGAAAATTTGAGGCAATAACTTCGTGACCTGAGGATGGGGCAGGGAGCCGGGGAGTCTCCTGATGTTTATGGCGAGGATGAGTCTGTCTATAGGAGAGATTTTCCTTTTTTTTTTTAAGACAAGAGTCTCGCTCTGTCGCCAGGCTGGAGTGCAGTGGCGTGATCTCTGCTCACTGCAACTTATGCCTCCCAAGTTCAAGCGATTCTCCTGCCCCAGCCTCCTGAATAGCTGGGATTACAGGCACCTGCCACCAGGTCCGGCTAATTATTGTATTTTTAGTAGACCTGGGGTTTCACCATGTTGGCCAGGGTGGTCTCGAACTCCTGACCTCGTGATCCGCCTGCCTCAGGCCTCCCAAAGTGCTGGGATTACAGGCATGAGCCACCGCGCCTGCCTGATATTTTTCCGTTTCAAGGCCCGGAGAGGTTGGGTTCTGACCCATGTTTGTCTTTTTAGGAGTTACAAATAACATCGTTTTGGAAGCGCCCTTCCTAGTTGGCATTGAAGGTTCACTCAAAGGCAGGTACGTATTGAAAATTACATATTGGTTTCGAGTCTCGGACTTTATGAGACTGAAGAGAGTGGAACTGACATACACTTCTTTTTTTTTTTTTTTTTGAGACGGAGTTTCGCTCTTGTTACCCAGGCTGCAGTGCAATGGCGCGATCTCGGCTCACCGCAACCTCCGCCTCCTGGGTTCAGGCAATTCTCCTGCCTCAGCCTCCTGAGTAGCTGGGATTACAGGCACGCGCCACCATGCCCAGCTAATTTTTCGTATTTGTAGTAGAGACGGGGTTTCACCATGTTGACCAGGATGGTCTCGATCTGTTGACCTCGTGATCCACCCGCCTCGGCCTCCCAAAGTGCTGGGATTACAGGCTTGAGCCACCGCGCCCGGCCTGACATATACTTCTTTTTGAGACCAGGTCTCAGTCTGTCGCCCAGGCTGGAGTGCAGTGATGCCATCATAGCTCACTACAGCCCCTACCTTCCTGGCTCAAGTTATTCTCCAACCTCAGCCTCGGGAGTAGCTGGGACTACAGGCACACACCACAAAGCCTGGCTGATTTTTACATTTTTTGTAGAGACCTTACTATATTGCCCAGGTTTGATATTAGAACATTTAAGTTTGCATATATGATTAGTTTGTAATAAGCAATGCCAGGGCTAATTCTTCAGTAACCCCAGAAACTGGAGAAAAATGCAACTAGAATGTTTTGTACTTGAATACTGCCTGGTAAGCTTTGCATCCTGCATCTGCTATGATTTACAAGTGATAACAGTACTCAATGAATTTGATATTACTAGGCTCCTGAAGTTTGAGTTTTGGCCTTAACAGACAGTTTATTTCATTCTGACCAGTTTGATTCAACGTTAGGGTTAAAGTATAGGAATTCTTACTTGCTTTGTCCAGTAACCAGAAAGATTTCTGCAGCTTGGACAAACTTCACAAACTGAGTTAGACCCACAGCTACCTCTCTTTTTCCTGAATAAAAGACACTCCCTATCACTACAGCAGTCCCCGTCCCCTTCCCACCTAGAGGACAAAGCAAGAAGGAGCAGTGGCCTGCTTGGAACTGGGTAAATTTTGGGGCTAGAAGCAGAAGCTTAACTGAATGTCCTTTTGGAGAAGAAGCTAATGAATCTAGACCTGTGCTGTCCTATACTGTAACCACTAGTCATATGTAGTTATTATATATTATTAAATCTGCATTGAGATATACTGTGAATGCAGAATACATGCTGAATTTCAAAGACTTAGTACAGAAAAATTAATCATTTAAAAATATTGATTACATGGTGAAAGGACATTTTTTATATACTGGGTTAAGTGAAATATTTAAAAACTAATCTCACCTGATTATTTTTTAAAGCAAAACTAATAGAACATTTAAAATTACTTATGTGTCTCACATTATATTTCTATTAGACAATGCTAGTTTTAGATACTTTGTAAAAAACTGGAAAGTCCCATGGGTTTCTGTATTGTGGAACAAGATAAGCTATAGAACTTGTGGAGAGGATTACGAAATGGCACAGCTCAAGAAAACTTTATTTTTTTTAAGTGTATGTTCATTACCTAGATGGGATCAGAGAATAAATTAAGATTTATTCTACCTTGGGGAGGCCAAGGTAGGTGGATTACATGGTCAGGAGATCAAGACCATCCTAGCCAACATGGTGAAACACCATCTGTACTAAAAATACAAAAATTAGCCGGGCATGGTGGCACGCATGCCTGTATTCCTAGCTCAGCTACTCAGTGTCCGACCTACCCTCTGCGGGAAGACTGAGCTCGTTCGGAAAAAACCGGACCGCAGGCTAGAGGAAATTCCTTAAGTTCAGGCTTTATTGAGAGGAAAGAGCCTCCGGGCAGGCCAGCCGGGACGAAAAGGAAAATGGCCGCGCTGCTCAGAGGGGCAGGGTTGTTTTATAGGGGGCTGAAGGGCTGGGGGGTGGGGAAGCCAAAAGCCGAGGTGGTGGGCAACTGTTGGTCAGTTTGAACTGCTGGGTGGGAAGCTGGGCGGCGGGAAGCTGGGCGGTGGGAGGGCTAGGACCGGTATGTAAAGTGAGAGATAAGGGAGCCTCTTTGTGGGGGAGGGAAAGAGAGAGAGAGAGAGAGAGCGTTTGCGGTAGGGGCAGAGTTTTCCAAACACTCAGGAGGCTGAGGCAGGAGAATCATTTGAACCAGGGAGGCAGAGTGCAGTGAGCTACGATTGCTCCATTGCACTCCAGTCTGCGAGACAGAGTGAGGCTCTGTTTAAAAAGAGGATGATTACTGATGCAGCTAAAAGAGCATACATTTTGGAGAGCGAAGACTTGGGCTCTTTTAACTTTACCTCTTAATAAGGCATGTAAAATAAATTGATCCCTCTCAGTCTGTCATATTTGAATAATTCTAAAATGTACTCCCCCATCCCCACATTTAAACATTCTACCGTTGGCATGAGCCTCCTAGATTCACAATCATAAAGGAGACAGATACAAGGTTACTTCTTCCGGTCTACATTTTTTTTGTTCTCTTACTGGTAGAGGATTTATTGTAACTACTTTTCAAAAGGATTATTATAGTATGCTGACACATAGAAATAGCTTTGTTACGGCCAGGCGTTGCTCATGCCTGTAATCCTAGCACTTTGGGAGGCCGAGGTGGGTGGATCACCTGAGTTCAGGAGTTCAAGACCAGCCTGGCCATCATGGTGAAATCCCATCTTAAAAAATAATAATAAATAAAGTAAAAAAATAATAATAAGTAGCTTTGTTACCCTTAGCATTTGTTGTGCTCAACAGCATATTTATTTAAATGGAATTTTGCTTGTATTATAAATGAGGTACATTTTTTTCTAATTGTTACTGCAAATTCTAACACGAGAGAAGGGCATAATGAACCTCTGTCTACCTGTCACTAAACTAGAGCAGTTATCAACCCTTGGTGAATCTCATTTTATCTAAAATTCTAGTTGGCTTGGTGTGCTGGCTTACACCTGTAATCCCAACACTTTTGGAGGCTAAGGTGGGAGGATAACTTGAACCTAGGAGTTCAAGACCATCCTAGGCAACATAGTGAGACTCTGTCTCTTTAAAACAAAATGAAACATCTACCCTCTATAATGTTTTGAGGCAAATACCTGAAATTATATCATTCCATCCATAAATAGGTGGTGAGGATCTTTATAAGAAACTTTTTTCTGTTACTTTTTGAGACAGAATCTGGCTCTTTTGCCTCCTAGGCTCAAGCCATCCTCTCACTTCAGCCTCCCAAGTAGCTGGAACTATAAGGTGTGCACCACCATGCCCACCTAATTTTTTGTAGAGATGGGGTTTCACCATGTTGCCCAGGATGGTCTTGAACTCCTGAACTCAAGTGATCTGGCTACCTTTGCCTCCCAAAGTGCTAGGATTACAGGCATGAGCCACTGCACCCAGTCTTTCTATTCTTTTTATAGATATAACCTAATTATATCTATAAAAAGCAAAGTATGTTATTGGGAAACTACATTTAATGATTTAATGTTGTTTGTAGATAGATGCTTTTTTGTGTGTGTGTGTGGTGGAGTCTTGCTTTGTAGCCCAGGCTGGAGTGCAGTGGTGTGATCTTGGCTCATTGCAGCCTCTGCCTCAGCCTCCCAAGTTGCTGGGATTACAGGCGTCCACCGCCATGCCCAGCTAATTTTTGTATTTTTAGTTGAAATGGGCTTTCACCATTTTGGCCAGGCTGGTCTTGAACTCCTGA